CTGGGCTGTGATTGGTTTAAAAAAATATAAACAAGCCAGAGCATTTTCCCCCTGTAGCATGGGTATAATATGTGTTTTTCAGCACAGTGAGGATAGACCTTCCAACACGAAAGCAATTTTCCTTGATTCTGCAGCAGTAGCCTCTCTTCTTACTTGTTTTAAGATACAGACACTCATCTCAAGAACACTCTTGAAGCAATTTTCTTTGGCAATGGATTGAAATATTCTCACTGCACTGGCAGATTTCTTCACTTCTTTTAAGAAAAGGAGGACTCGGTTTTAGTCAGAGAGGGCTTGACAAAGTAGCAGTGATTAATGTACGCATACATCATATGGGCATATGAACGGGTACGTCTGTTATATCTCCATATGCCTATGGATGATTTTTTTGTATGTGTATTGGTGACTTTCGAAATTGCAATTTGTATGTCTATGCTGAATTGGTGATGTGATAAAATGCCTTTGTGATTACTGCAAAACAATGTCTCCACAGGGAGTGGGGACATCTATTTATCTATATTCAATGGCACTGTATGTCTCTGCAAACCATGGTTATGTTACACTCTCACATTTCACATGTATCATAGCAACATTTCTAAAGTAAAGTAGTACATGAGCTTTCTTTGACATTGAGTGAGACCAAGGTGACAAGCTGCAGACCACTGCAGACCTATAAACAACAAAACCTGTTGGTTTTTACCAATGCAACGCTGCTTTTCCTGCCAGGATGTTGGCATGAAAGTGGCAATTGGGTTGTGTGCCCACATATTTTTGTTCTTACAGTGGCATGCAAACGTTTGGGCACTGCTCATCAAAATTTCATTTACTGTGAATAGTTTAGTGAGTAGGAGATGTTGTTTGTTTGTTTTGTGCAATTATAGAGTGAAAAAAGGAAAGGAGCACCATGTAAAAGTTTGAGCTCTTGGACTACTTTTACCAGGGTCCCAGACAATAATTAGCTTGTTGGGACTCTGGCTTAGTCACAATCATAGTAAGGAAAGGCCAGGTGCTGCAAATTTCAAAGCTTTATAAATACTCTGATTCCTGAAACCTTGTCCCAACAATCAGCAGCCATGGGCTCCTCTAAACAGCTGCCTAGCACTCTAAAAAACTAAAATAACTGATGTCCACAAAGCAGGAGAAGACTGTAAGAAGATGGCAAAGTCTTTTAAGGTAGCTGTTTCCTCAGTTGGTAATGTCATTAAGAAATGGCAGTTAACAGGAACTGTGAAGGTCAAGATGAGGTCTGGAATGCCAAGAAAACTTTTCAAGAGAGCTGCTCTTAGGATTGCTAGAAAGACAAGTCAAGCCATTGTTTGATTGCAAAAGACCTGCAGAAAGACTTATCAAGACTCTGCAGTGGCCGTGCACTGTTCTACTGTGCAGTGACACCTGTACAAATACGGTCTTCATGGAAGAGTCATCAGAAGAAAACCTTTCCGGGGTCAACACCACAAAATTCAGCGTCTGAAATTTGCAAAGGAATGTCTAAACAAGTCTGATGCTTTTTGGAAACAAGTCATGTGGAGTGATGAAGTTAAAATAGAACTTTTTGGATGCAATGAGCAAAGGTATGTTTGGAGAAAAGACAATAACACCTGTCCAACTGTTAAACACAGAGGTGGATCGACCATGCTTTGGGCTTGTGTTGCAGCCAGTGGCACGGGAACATTTTACAGGTAGAGGGAAGAGCAGTGCATTCAAGACGGTCCAAGAATCTCACAGAGCTAGAAGCTTTTTGCAGGAAGAATGGGTGAAAATCCTCCAAATAAGAAATGAAAGACTCTTAGCTGGTTACAAAAAGCGTTTAGAAGCTGTGATACTTGCCAAAGGGGGCACTACTAAGTACTGACCATGTAGGGTGACCAAACTTTTGCTTCAGGCTTGTTTACTTTTATGTTATTTTGAAACTGTAAAAGATTGAAATCCTAAAGTAATCTTGCTTGAAATAAATGTCATCATTATGCCTCAGTTCATCTTCTTCTTACTTAACTACTCATAGTAAACACAATTTTGACCATGGGTACCCAAACTTTTGCATGCCACTGTGTAGTGTAAAGGCATGAAAATAATTGGAAAGTTTGTTACTGATGCATGACCATATAAGCACGTTTTTAGTGTTGCTGTTCAAATTGGAGCTACTTTCAACCCCTTTATGTATCATGAAAACAAAGTATAAATACCCAAAAACTGCTCTTTAGTAAAGTGCTTGAGTACATGTATAATTACTGTCCACCACTGCTTGCCTGAGCTCATGTTTTCACAGAACAGGACCCTGATGCTGAGTTGTTTTGGGAGCTGAACCCCTGACCTTGATATTTAGCTTGGTCCCTGTGAGCACTATATATGCTACCTCACCACTCTCAGAAACGTACTGTACCGCATCCAATTAACAGACAGACAGGTTTGAGGATGTGTGTTGTCTCTTGCATGTCAGCTAATGCAGTTGTGCTTGCAGCTTGGTCACACAGCACTGCGCCGAACGTCCTGTTCGATATTGCTGCCTCTCTGCTGGGACTCAGATCAGAATCAAAAATCTCTGTATGGCGCGAGTCAAATGTGAGTGGTCAACTTTGCTTTGTTAAAGTGAGACTCTGCCTCCAACAATAATATAATACCTGTTTGAAATTCTCTCTTTGCAAGAGGAGGTCAGACGGGAGAGTCAAGGACACTTTAGCAGTGTTTACTCACTGCTCTTTCTACTCATTACACCGCCCTGCTGCCAAACATCCACCCAAATTTGTTATTTTCTTGCAGATAATGAAAAGTAATGGTGAAATGCTAACATTTTGCACATGCAGTGTGGCTCAGAGGGACACTGACCTTGCTACAGACCTATAAAACAACATTTCAATATATAATGGTGCTAATGAAAGCTGAAGCAGTAAGCATATTCCACCTACAAATTCTGAATAATTATTGTAATTTATGGGTGTAAATGCTTTACAGCCATATATCCGATCCTGGTTTAGCTCCAGAGTGACACCAAAGGTCAAGAATAAAAAACACACTGAATAAATTCAGATTTTTTTCTCTGCCTTCTCATACACAATCGTGTTTTGAACTTGTATTGAGTCAGATCCTTTTTCTCAGAATATGGATTTTTGTGTCAGGGTGGGTGTTGGGGCGGCAGCAGTGGAAGAGAGAGGAGAGCTTGGCTGCCCCATAGAGCTGGGCCATGCAGGCTGAAGGCCATTTCATGGTCTCTGATCCTCATTTGTCATTCAGCTGTGTTAAATACTAATAGGCAAATACCCGCTGACACAAGAGGGCGAGGCGATCGAAAGCAATTAGGCAGCTTTTTCTCTAAAAATCTGCAAACAATTCCAACGGTAGCAAAGAAAACCTCAGAGTTTAGCGACTTTGTTCGTGCCTCGGGAATTATTTCAAAGGTAAAGTTGACATTGCAACTCAACAAGACTGGCTCTGACCATCTGAAAAGTCTTCTTGCCGAAGTCTGTGACATACAGGAATGGTTAAAAAAAAAAAGAAAAATTCAATTTATTCATGCCTCTGCTGTGAGGAAAGAAAAATTATGCAAACCCTGTGACAGTGTGTGTCCCTGTATTCTGGGAAGACTTCATTGAGGGCAGGTGATATTTTTCTGACTCTCTCAACACCTCGCACATTCTCCTCATACTGTATAAAGATGCATACATCTACCCCTGGGAGCTGCCTCGCTTTTTTTTTTTCCTATCACTTTAACCGCCTCCAGTGGACTCCGTGAAATGAGGAAATTGATTTATTCCAGATTAATCAACACAGGGCTCAGCACATTATCTCCTTCATGTGGTATACTGAGGCAAAACAATCAATAAGAGTCAGTAAAATAACAACAACCTGAAAATAGTGGATGAAAATGTTCCTATTACAGCAAACAAGAACTTTAGCACCACATGTTAAAGAAATACTGTGCAGGATTTTCCGTCAAAATAATGAGGTAATCCCTCTCAATCACTAGAAGTGTATTTATCTTTGACACCCTCTGCCTGTATTTTCTTATTGTCTATGACAGGCATAAGATGTCTATCCGCAGCTCATCTACTGGACCTTTCAGCCTAATATTTTGTGTGACACACGTAGAACTGTATACTCTAGGACCTATTGTGGTTGTGGTGATTTACATTTTTTTTTAAAAACCTGTTTTATTGACCATTTTAAATCATTATAGATTGCTGACTTCTTACTCCTCTTAACCAGCCAGTTACGTAGGGTCTTTCTCAAAGTCAAGGAAGGATCCTTAAATGGCTGAATTCCAAAGAGGCTACGTCCTCAACTCCTGCCCAAGGACTGTACTAATGTCAAGGATCCTTCAAATTCTACAAAGGACAGAGTCTTTCCTTCAGAGACTTTTTAAGGATGCAGGTGTGTATCCTCAGCAGGTATGAAGTACCCACAACTCTTTGCACACAATTAGTTGGAAGTGAAGGCAGGGCCTCTTCAATGAAACCTGCGCAAGCAGAACTTGACCGGATTAGTAATCTCCAGGAGTTTTTATCATGTATCGTGTATTTTTTTGAGAAGCTACTGGAACCATGTGGTGCATCTGCTTGAATTGTCTACACTTATAACAAGGGATCAACCAGGTGCCAAACTGTAAGCAGCATGCATCCAAGAGAAAGCTACGAAAACTGTAGACACAACACTGAAAGGACGCAAACAAACAGCAGCCACAATTCCTGCATAATATACCTTAAAATGTCTGAATAAGTATCTTCAAATATCACTGCCTGCACAGCTTCCTGGATATCATAAGAGGCTATAATGACCAATAACATGCTTGATATTGGTCAAGCATGTTATTGGTCATTATAGCCAATAACATGCTTGACCAATATCAAGCATGTTATTGGTCATTATAGCCAATAACATGCTTGATAGGAATGTTATTGGCTATAATGACCAATAACATGCTTGATAGGAATCAGCAGCATGCCTGTAAAGCATCTATTATGAGTAAAACCAATTAGCTGTGAACAATGAGCTGTTTTAACACTCACGCTGAGCCTGTCTCCTGCTCTGCCATCCAGGGATGACTCCTTATGCAACAAGTTGTACTGAGAAATCCTCCTGCTGTCCTTCTCCAGATGTGAGTACATGTCGTGCTGGTAGTAGTCCATGATTGACAAGGATTTCTCCACACTGCTTCTCTTCAGGGTCTCCTCGTTCTGGTCGACTGTGGACAAAGGAATTTGTTATGACAGAAAACAAGGTAAATAAGCTCAATAAAATGTGCAGCTGCTGTCTTTATAGGTGACTGAAAATGACTGTAAGAACTTCATAAACCAGACCTGAGTCACTATTCTTAGATCTGTTGATCAGGGTCCTTTGTGGCAAGCTTCCGGTTCCCTCTGGTTCAGTCTCGGTGTCACTGCTGCTCCCCGGGTACGTACACACTTGCAGGGCTCTCTCCTGTTCATAGTTAAAAAATAGAAATTTAATATACAGAAATGGAGCATTTTCAAAACAACATATTACGTTGTCAGTGGTAAAGAGAATAAACACGGAAGAATGGTGTGAACAACAACAAATCTAACAACAAAAATCTTTCCCCAGCCAACCCATTGCAAATCACAGTGTTATAGAAAGTGTTTATTGTGATTTTTTAAAAACTTTTTAAAGGGCGACTCAATTATTCTTCTGTTTCCTGAGGTTTTTATATCATTTTGTAGCTCTCCAGTAGTGTTCCTTATGCATTCAAAATTTGGTCTAAGTTTGTATGTTTTAACTTTAAAGAGCTGTTTCCCCAAGTCCTTCCAAAAACATTTTCCCATGTGACCTGTTGTAGGTTTCTGCATTAAACCCAGGTTTGGCTGTGGATGGATTAGTTTGGTTCCAAAAGTCACACAATAACAAATAAACCAAAAGATCAAGTTGGAGGCAGATCAGCCACTCCTATGTCCTGTGAGGTAAAATTACTGTTTCTGTCAATGGACTCTGGTGACTCTAAAAAGGGCAAAATAATAGCTTCAGTTTCTCATCAGAAAGGGCTGTCTGTTACTGTTTGTGGTGAGAACGTGTTCCGACCTTGATCCAAACCAACTACATTTGCATTACGCATTGTTTGGGTTAACCATGAGCATGTTACAGTCCTGGAGGATTATTATATGCACCTCCTCCTGTTGCCTTAATATACACATTTGGCGCATCCAATGCATCAAAACATTGTTTTCTAGTTGGAGCCGCGTCTTATTTTCAACGTTTTATTTTCTTGATTTTCCCGCATAGAAATTCTGACCAATCAAGAGCAGCTTTCTCGTGCAAGACATTTGATCTTGTCTGCCTGTAAATGCTGCAGTGAGAACACAAACCAACTCTAGGCAATTGTGCAACTTTGTAACAAAATTAGTCCCTGATTCGGACCAAAGCAAGTGAACTCTGGGTCTGAAAGCACCCTAAGGTAGGTAATTATGTAATTTTGTAATACATTCACTCAGATTTGTTCACATTGTAATGTAAATGACTTACACCGGGCATATCATGCTCCTGGGATTTTATCCTCCTCTCTGTTTCCTTGTCTTCATCCTCTGTGGAGATGTTGCTGTGTGGAGCACAAAGACTCAACCTCTTTGTCCTGATTGCATCTATAAGTAAAAGGAGACAAAAGAGAAATGAGTCATGAGGCGCGCAGTAAATAACAGGAACAGTTTGGTACCCATATAGACAGTGGAAAGAGTGAAAACATTATTCTTCTAAAGTGACAATCTTTCCTTCAGCAGACACAGGATGAGAACATCCATTCAACCATCCAACTGCCTACACATCCATTTTTCTGCACATGTGAATGGAGCTGCACAATATCCAAGCCATCAAACATTAATGGTGTCCACACTGCGACTGTTCCCCGCCATGACTCCTGGCAGCCCAGATATAACAGCTTTCAGCTGTCGGCCCCTGAATGACGGAGCGCTGCCTTATTATCACTCTGCTGCCTACTGCTGTCTCGGACAGACGCCAATTTAATTGTCTCTTTTAACATTCAGCCGCATTACAATAACAGCCCGCTTTTGGCCAGTGCTCTGTCGCCATCTGAAAACTCTGCATTAGGATCATAAAAGTCTGTTCACCTTCTTCCCCGTGCCTATTAGGAGGCAAACAACGTGACAGGCGCCACTCCTTTTCTGCCACCCTTAAGCCTTGTAATACTAATGATGACGGAAACATATGATAAAGACACACTGACTATATTTAAGACTCTTTTAATCAACTTGTGCCACAGAGAGGACTCAACAGGAGCCGCAGACAGTTGTGACTCAAATTGCTGCCTCTGCAGTGCCACCGCAGCGCCGAGGTGAAATAGATGCAATGTAAGCATAAAACCCTGTGTGTGATCGCTCATCACTGTGTGTTATTGTAGCTTTAATCAGCCATCTGATTGCTTCCTACCCACCACCTTTCTGCCGCACGTCACACCAAACACAGAGGCAGAAGGTGCTTTATGATCTATGGCTGTGTTGACATGCTTATCTGATTGCATCTGTTAGTTTTCCTCAGGGCAGGGAAGTGTGTGGGTTTCTATAAGGACACGGAGTGCTTTTGTCGTCCCAGCTGAGTATCAGACGTCAGTGTTGATGCATGAGCTTCAAAATTAGCTGAACAAACAAGGTTCTTCTTTTAATCAGGGTCTAATAGAGCAAAGTACTTCCTCGTGTCTGGTGGCCTTGAGCGCTCTGGAGGGAAATGTGTTAACATAAAGTACAGTGACATTCAATATTTCACTAACCTTCTGAAACGTAAAACAAGCTGTCTGAGGCTTTCAAGGCTTTGCACTCAATAATAGTTGCTTTTACAGACATGCATTTCAATTTATTTTGCTCTTTGGCCTTGATTGAGGAAATCAAATAAAAAACAAAGGCATTGTTCTTTGTTCCGTAGTAAAATCGCACTAAACCTGGAGAATCCCTGAATATAAAGAAGCTCTTGACTCACCTGAGGTTGCTAATTTGGGCAGGCGGCTCTGGGTGTCGTTGTTGCTGGAGGACACACTGGGGTCGGACAGCGAGTGACCCATGCCAGTCGGGGCATGCGGGCAGGATTTTGGGAGGGAAGGCACTTTCACATGAGGTTGAGAGGGGTCTGGGTGCGAAGAGGGAGGCTCCCGATTGTGGTCAGAGGAGCCGGCGGTCACCCCACCTGGGCTGGATTCAGATTTGGGGATGTGGCGACCGCTGGCCCGGGTGACGGAATCGGGGAGAGGGAAAGTGCCGATCCCTCTGTCCAGGGTTCTCATCTGACAGCCGGAGCCTAGAGTGACAGGGACAGGAGTGTGACCTCTGGGAGAAGCAGGAGACAACAACGAAGGAGAAGAAAGGAGGGCTTGGATTCACATGCAACGGAAAGGGTTGTGAGTAAAGAGGGCGTCTGTAGCAGGTTCAGTAACACGTGGTCGGTAGGAAAAAGGAGAAAAGACAGTAGTTTAATTTGATATAGTAAATAAACGAAATAATGGGATTGCAGTTAGGAGTATCAAAGCTTTTTTTGACTGGTCGGTCTTTAGCCTAATTTACCTACACACTCCGCTAATGGCTTGAGAGAGACCTGCTGCTGCTGGCAATGCCATGATGCAACTTCTGAGAGTTGACTTGCCCAAAAGCCAAACTTTTTTGTCCAAAATGGAAAATGTAGCACTATTAAACAATGAATAAAAAACAATATGAATAAGTGTGTTTAAAATCACAGCTGCCACACAGTCAGAAACATCCTCTGATTGGTCGTCAGACTCAACCTAAAAAATTGTGGACAGCGAGTGGACAGCTAACAACAATAATACCAACACAGAAAGATGGAGAAATATTCACAGTAGACATTCAGTGTCTCCATTCAGACGCCGCAGTTTAAGGCTGCATTACAAAGCTGGTGAAGGGGATGCAAATGTTACCTTCAGGGCAAAGAAAAAGTAATTCTTTCACAAGCAAAGTTCCAGGGATATTTCACAATAGTAACATTATGTCGTATATGACATCATTGACCCCAGAAAGTGACATAGTATATGACATGACTGAAGCTGTTCTTGTGCACTGTTCATACATTTTCCTCTGAAATAAGATATATGAATAATATGAAGTAATGTGTGCATAGCCCATGTATTTTGGAAGGCTGCGATCACATGGATAATGTGCTGATGGGAGTAAAGAAGAAAGCAATCCCGAGCAGTCCAGTAAGGAGGTAGGTTGGGGCAGTGGATAGGTCACAAAACACAAGACCTTCCCCCAGGACCCTCCCTTAAACTGGTATTTTGAACCATGTAAACTCTGAGTGAGCACCACCTAAATTAAGAATGTCGTTATGTTATTTCCATGGCCTGAAAGTTCAATCAATATTTGTAAAATGAGCTACACTCTCTCAAATCCAGAAACCAGAAAGTCTTAAACTTGATCTGCTCCATGGACAATAAATGGGAGACTGATTTTGTGGACCCACAGTTTGTTTTCTTTTTTTTATACCCAAATGAGCTTTATTCTATTGTAATGCTCTCAGCTCTCTTCGCAGCACTTCCATCGGTGTTTGGTGCACCGAACCTTAGTGTTTTTTTGAGACACATCACAGTGTTTCCCAGTGGGGCTGTGCCACTGAACTTTGGGGTGTTTGACCAGCACAGTGTGGCATTTCCCAGCATTGTTTAAGTCACAGAACTTGGGTGTATTTTACTGACTTGTAATGGTGTCTTGTAAACCAGTGAGTTGGGCACATGTAAGTGTGCAAGACACAAATAAAAATCTATCAGTCAGTCTATTTTAAGCCAAAACATGATTTCTTCCTAGCATTAAACAAGTGGTTTTGGTGCCTTTGCTGAGAAATGTAAAGTTTTGATGTATCTACTACAAAATAATGTACAAATGTAACATATCTGTGGTCTGCAGAAGCATAACATGCCAACATTTATGTGTCCATTACGACTGATTCTTCTCAACAACCCTGTTCATCCCCAGTATACAGGACGCAAGTTTTTTTTGTTTTTTTTGTACCCAGAAAACGGTACATTACACATCACATTTATTTTTTACTTGCTTGCTGACAACTCAGTGAGACTTTACACTAACCCAGCGCAGTTATTGTGGAGCCCTGATTCATTGCATTTTTTTTTTTCTTGAAAATGAACTGATTAGTTACCTGTTAATGGGTGTCTGGCTATTGAGAGCAAAATTAACCAAAGCTGACATCCCTAATTGCAGTAATTACTGCTGGTAGCTCCACCCTAATGCACCTTATTATAATGTTCCTATTAGGCACTTGTTAGAAGCATTTGTAGCTATCACAACAGATGCACATTCTAACAAGATATGACACAATAAAGCACCCGCTGCCAACAATTCTGAACAAAACACACAATTGAGCTACAGCCCGAGGCCACGTTCCTCGGATCCATCAGAGTGCACGCTGGGTTGTAATCAGGAGAAATGACAGCAAGTGGCAACAGATGGACGTCGTTTGGAAGCCACAGTTTGCAGAGCCTTGACTCAGGCTGGAACAGATGGACGGCCATTCAGCTCAGCCCAGGTCCTTGTAACTGTGAATGCTAACGGCCAACAGTTACATTGGCTAATTATTTGCGACTTTTTGCTGAGATGGGTTTTGTAAAAGTGAAAAAGGCCCATAATGTTTTTATCTTAGCTCAAATTAAACAAGTTTCTCTTTGTTGCTTGCATCACATCTTCCACTGTTTGCCTTGGGGATGAGGAATCCTCCGCAACCATCTGTTCTGTCTCTCAAAATACTGTTGAGTGAAAACTCTGAGAGCAGACCAGCATGTTTTTTTATTTTTTTAGTAGATCGATATTGACAGGCTCTGCTTCTCAACTGTATAGCTTTGTCTCAGTGGGATGCTGGAGCACAAACACAGTCCACTCATGAGCATTTCCTTCTATGAATAAAAGTTCTCTCTCAATACTGTTGGGTATTACAGTTGAGTTTCAAGAGTTTGCAAGGAAGGATCGGATTTACATTTGGATCTAAAGCTTAAACTATTGATCTGTTTTCTCTTATATATGTCTGGGCGTCATTGGTGATGCACTAAAGAAACAACTGCATTCTTCTTTGGATGCCAAAGCATGATCAGTAAATTCACAGATGAGCGAATTTATATAGTTGTGAGGAGTTCTTGGTGAAAAAACAAACTTGAGTTGTCAGTATTGTTGTTGAAGTGTACTTCTACTCTTATCTGACTTGCCTCTGACAGTCAGCACCATACTGCACATGGAGAACCTGTGAAAATGAGTCCTCAGTGTTTGGATGTACACATACACTGTGTTCACTGGGCAGATGGCCTGTTACTTGTACACACATCTGCTGTGCATCACTTGAGGACCGTCGCTGCGAAAGAATAAAAATCCTGATCCCAAGTTTTAAAAAATACATGATGCAGTTGACATATAAGCAGAGACACGTGCGTATTGTATATGTGAGAAAGAGAAAGAAGGGGAGAGCCTTAGATTACACAGCTGTATAATTGAATGCCAAGCCTGGCAGTTCAAAATGCCCCCTAAAACCAAACTATAACAAGGTTCACAGTAATTCTACCCAGAGGCAACAACAACTGGACGTAATGTGTTTTTTCAGGAGCTCCCTATCACTTCTATATACAACCTCCCGGGTTTGAGGAGAGAAAGCAGGTTTTTTGATACCTCCACAGCGTGAAATAGGTTTCATGCAATGAGAAGGTGTCAAAGGGAAGAGAAAGAGTCATCACTAACAACCATAACCTTATCTAGGAGATATTTCCGTGTCAACAATTACATGAAAATGCAATGATATTTGACACTAATTGTAAAGTCAGATTTTTGCAGGAGAAATTAGTAACCGTAGGTCCACTGTTGTGTGCGCTCAGACTTTACAAGAGCCATCTTAAAGTTCATTACATGGATTAAAATTAACTAGCTCACATTCATAGTTTGCAATCTAGTTTGTCTATTTCTTCAGTTTTTTAAACCAAAGCATAGGTCTTTGACAACCTAGGAATGAGACTCAACAATCAACAATCTTTCTCCAGAGTTATATACAGCACTTTTGAATTAAATAAAATCGATACCATCACTGATTGACAGATATTTCCCAACACTGACCGGATGCTTCAACTCATTGTGTCGTTTTAAATTTGTTGCAGATGTGGCTGACATTTTTTCAGACTCCATAGGTCCAATTTGCATAAAATATAAAATATTTCCATTGGAATCTGTCCTGATTTGTTCATAAAACCATATGAACTGGCTTCAGCAGTACCAGTAGCTGCAATGTCGGAATTGCTGGTTTTACTAGCCATGCCAGATTTTTGTTGAAGCCTGTTCCCCCATCGAATAGTGTCTCCCTCTTGTTAAAATGTGTAGGACCCTCCTCCATGCTGAGGTAAAGGAAAAGGTTTGGTTCAGATTCAGGTAGGAGGAAACACATATTGACAGAAAAAACGGCTGCCGTAAATCCCTGTGCTTGAGTGCTGTTCGCTGTGGTGAGGGTGAACAATGCTCATTTGCAAAAGGATACATTCAATGAACGTGCTCATTTAGCATTTTTATGCACAACACTACCTGGGCAAGCCCTAAAGAACAGCACTGGATTTTGAATGTAATTTGACATAGTGATCAAATCATGAAATTTCAACTTTCAGGTCCAACACATGATCCCACTGGAGTCAATGATGAGTCAATGATCCCACTGGAGTCTTTTTCCCTTTGACATAAATTGCAAAAAAGAGACATCTGTAAATCAGGGGACTAGAGTCACTATCAGGATTTGATCCATTTGGTCCACTGACATTTTGAAAGTAGAAGTGCTGCACAAGAGTTGCAAGTAACTACTATTGTCATTGATGAATCTGCTGATTACTTTCTTGAGTAATCTTTTGATCTATAAAATGTCAGAAAGTAGCGAAAAAAGTCCATCCCCGTCTCAGAAAGTCCAAGGTGATGTCTTTAAATGTCTTGCTTTGTTAGTCTAAAACCCAGCGATAATCAGTTTAATATGTTGTAAAACACAGCATGAGGATGCAGTGTTTAGCATTGTCGCATCACAGCAACAAGGTTCCTGGTTCAAACCCCAAGTGGGAGGGCCAATTTTAGAGTCTGCATGTCCTCCCCATGTCAGTATGGGTTTTCTCTGGGTACTCCGATTTCCTCCCACAATCTAAAGACATGCAAATTAATTGGTGACTCTAAATTGGCCGTAGGTGATGAATGCGAGAGTGAATGGTTGTCTGTCTCCATGTGTCAGTCCTGTGATAGTCTGGTGACCTGTCCAGGGTGTACCCCGCCTGTCGCCCAATGTTGTAAAACAGGGAAAAGCAAAGCAGAAAATAGAATTTTCTGCCATTTTGGCATAAAAACATAGTTGAACCATGATTGATTAGCGAAAAAGTTGTCAATTATGTTTATGTCAACTGACTAATCGATCAGTTCATTCTATCCCCATTTAAGTTAGCTAAGTGCTAAACCAAAGGTTAGCTGCTTGGATGGCGGAAGTCCAACAATGCAGAAGCAGAGTGGAAGATCCAAATTTTTTTACAGACTGAAGTCAGACTTTTTGGTTTCATGCACCACTGGGCAACTTTCAAAGGGATGAACAGGGCTCCACTTCAGATGCTGTATCCAGCTGTCTCTATGTGCCTGGATCATAAAGCTCCAGCAGCAAGATCTGCTGCAGAATATTGCAATCATTTGGCTTAAGAATGATGCTTTAGACTAAAGGCTAGAAAGTTTGAAAGCCAGAAACATCAGCACCCAGTGAAATAATTGCTGAATCATTGGTATTGATCAACAATGCTGTCAAACCCCTGCAGATATATTAGGGTCAGCCTGTGCTGTGGGCCAGTCAAAATGTTATTTATTGTCTTTGTATAAGAAAAAAATAAAAGCTGCCTCACGGGAAGTTCTGCTAATATATAGCAGCTGACCAGTGTAGGGTGAACTTCAAAGTCCACATTCATAACATGGATTTTGCTCAAGCTGCCTGCATCATAAACTGGCTGGATGTAAACTATTTATGTGATGGATGTGTTTGTCTGGCGTTGGGCCTGTGCATGCTGCACTTTGGAGATACGTGACATTAAAGCAGCGCTGAGGAGCATTAAGCACCCACAGCTGAAACCTTTATGAAATATTTAGTTCATTCCGTCTGGAAGTGCATAGCTGGCGGAATATAAAAAAAGGCAGCATGTTAATCAGAATACAGACACAATTAAGCATTTCATTTTGGCGCCGTGGTGGCTGTTCCCCATCATGAGCTGATTTTCACACTCTGTGGAAAGTTGCTTGAGCCAAAACTATGTCTTGACATATTTTAATAAGTTACTTCTCAGCTAAATCTTCAAACATAAAAAAAAACAAGAGAAGCTGAGAATTGGTTTCTGGCTCCATAGAGATTATTTCAACCAACACTCAGCCCTACCAAAATATATCTAGTTTAATTATACATAAGAACTGGCTGTTGTGAAGTTTGAGTCCATTAAATGTTTACACAATCATTACTGTTTGTATATTCTGGATATAAACAGTGCCAACCATGGCAAAGCAGACCCAAAATACAATACCTATATTTTACAGCAAGTTAGGAATACAAAATATAAAAAAAAATATTGATTACAGCAGCTTTGAATAAATGACAATAGTTTTACATCCATCCAATTTGAGAACAAAAGTCATGTTCTTCAAGGGTCTGTATGTATCTAACTTTTACATGTATTTCTCGTTTTTTAATTCCAGTGGCTAGACAGATTGTAACATAACCTAAAAGTAGATTTCTATGTAAAGGACTCTTGATGAATTTCCAGGTAAAAACCAACAGGCTACTCAACTCACTCAAGAAAATATCATGACATGTCACTCCTGTGCCACACACCCCCACAGCAACTGACTGGACTGGTTATAAACCATTTAAACTCATGTCACTACTATGCACTTTATACTCACAACATAGTGCTATGCTGCTGTTCAACACTTTGCACTTTACCTTCATTACATACCTCATCACTGTTTACATCCCTGGCACACTGTGCATAACTTTTTAAAACTTGCAAATACTTGAAAAATCCTGTGCAATACTTTGTCTTGTCAGTGTCTATCTACATGTCTATGTGTATGCAGTAATCCCTACTGTCCGTCTATGTTGTATTTAGGTGAACTTCGTCTGTCTGTCCGTCTGTGTGCACTTCTTTTTATGTTAAATGTTGTTTGTTATAAACCAGCAGATTGGGGTGTGGAGAAATGTAATTTTGTTATTCTGTGCAACTGCTTATTGTATGGTTTGATTGACAATAAAGTTCACTTTGACTTTGACTTTGCATTGACTTTGCATTATGCACATTCCTGAGTACCAACAGTGGGCAACATTCCTAACTGTAGCTTAGAAATGGAGTCCGCTAATTCCAACAAATCACTGGCAGCCACCAAAACAGAATCCACACATGCCTCGTTTCTGTAATACATTTTGTAGTAGCGGTGGAGTCGGACCTTCGCTTAGTGCTGGGGTTTGTGCTAGCTGAATTTGAGCTGCTACAGCAACTGACCTAAGGTGCGATAAGCAGTAAATTTATGACATTCTGTGGCCTAATGCAAAAAAAAAAAAAAATCCTGGTGCTGAGTGGGCTAATGTTAACAATTCTAGCTTGCTTGCTGACACAGATGGATTACTGGCTAGCTAATGTAGCAAAATACTTTATTGGGTAGATAACATCAGCTCAACATCAACCCGGTCTCACTTTGAAGAAGTAAAAAAAACGGCACTTGGACAGTGTACTTTAAAAACAAACAATGCATATAACAGGCTGAACTTGACACAGTGTCCCAGAATGTTAACAACCAATGCAGCCAGGGTACATCATACCTCAACGTGGAAAGTCCATGACCAAACGTCAGTATGTCACGAGGCTGAAGTGAGAATGTATTGAGCGAATACATCTAGACTCCTGAGGTTCACACTCCCAACTTGTCATATACTGTTTGGTCAGTGGACTTTCATGTCCACAAATGACGCACTAGGTATCCTGGGTATGTCTGTTATTGGTGTTCCAGGATACCCTGTCATTTTATGCATGTTACATGCATTGTCTTTTCAAAATACACTTCCATTTTCACAGGAACTGGACAGTTTCTGCTTGTTAGATGTATACAGTCTTTTTTAAATAAACTTCCAATGTCAGAAAAGCACCTTGTCTTTCACTTGTTTTTTTCCTTGTGCAACAAAAGCTCAGGGTTAGGTTTCGAAAAAAACAAAACAAAGGAGGCACCGGACTCCCAAATTACTTTATAATCTAATGTTACGAAGCAACGAATCCATGCAGCAGCCAAGAGTTAACTGTTTCCTAAACTGAGATTAGCAAGCTAGGTTGCTAGTCATGGGTTGCTTCATGATGTTAGACGATGATTAAGTAATTTGAAAATGGCAAGCTAGTTAGTAACATGGAGTCAAATGAAATACACAAACATTTTAGACAGTAACGTTATTCTAAATATGATTGTAACCTATTTTTTTTTCAGCATTCTATTAACATGATGCTGGTTGGTATCCAGTTTTGTGTATGTCACATTACTGTTTTGACTAAAGCCCAGGGGCTACGTGCCTACTGTGTGCAAATGCGAGCCACAGGATGTTGACTGGGATCAGAGAAAGTTCACGAGTAACAAGGATTGGACGAAGTACAGTTTTTAAAACTATGCTTCAGGATATCCAATTGAAAAGACTAAAACTATGAAAAGATAAACCTTTTTTGTTTTCCACAGAATTTGGCGCCAAGTTCCTAAAAAAAGGGGGATCTGTTTCTGCTAATCTCTATTCCCACTGCCTATGGTGCTATATTACAAGAGATGAGTCATTATGACCTTTGAGATGGATCACTGCAACAATCTCTCAAATATCCAACTGAATGACAACTGAGTGACAAACAAGCTGCACCCTACATCCAGAAAACATCGGCTCCACCCTCTCTCCACGCCGCATCACTTACTACAATGCAAGTTTGTCCCAATGCAGTAATAACAATCATCACCCCGTCTCACAAATTGTTTGATGCATCTATTTTTTCACTTCCTTAGCTGCTTAGGCATTGTAAAAAATCACCCGGTTGCACATCAATCACCTGACTAAATTGTCGACATGTTTTTTTTTGCAGCTGCTACTTTTCCCCCCACAGTGATGGCAAGTCTGGCAGCGAGGGGAATTAGTTGGCGAAGGAATTGAATTGTCAATCACATCAGGAAATCACAACTGTAAAATGTGTTAATGCTCCATTGCACTGGTTGATTCTTGATGGCTAGTGACAGCTTTTTGTAAGTTACTTTGAAAAAAACTGTACTGAGTGAGGTAAACACTTGCAAATGTGAAACTCAGTGGCTTAAAACAGACAACGCCATGACAACTTTTAGAAGTAACAAGAGCAAAGGCGATGAATCGGAATATATCACACGGGATTGGATTTGACCTCTACTTTGGTTTGCTTGTGGTACAATTCAAAGAGCTATGTGGGGTTTTTTTTGTTTTGTTTTTGGCACATAATCACTCACTTTAGCAGTTCTTAGTGAAATGTCCATTGAGCACCAACAGTAATGCATGAGCTTACCTATCATGTGGTCTTGACAAGCTGTGTCTGGAATGCGTCCCTCCTCATTTTCAGCCCTCAGGTTGATCTTCTGAGTCATTATAAGGTTCTAGAATAATAACAAACACTTCATGTTGGTGATGCAAACTTCAAAAAGCAGCTAAAATATACAATAATATATTAAATTCACCAAAATATGCAGTATGACAGATTCCAAATGTACCTTGGTTTGTCTAGAAAATTGCATTATATAAGATATCCATTTATAATGCTTCATCTGGAGGAAATTGCGAAGAAATGTGGGAAAAGATTAGTTATAGTACCTACAGATTCATGTATGTTATGACTATGAGCCTCTGGCATAGTAAAATAAGGGGGACTGGGTGTAGTTGTAAAACCTTTTGTCTCAGCACCTTTAACTCGCTGAATCTTATGTGTTAGAGGTCTCAAATTTTGACACAAAGTACCCCAATTTGTCTCCTACAAATAGCAATATTTCCAACTACATCACTAAATACATTAAATTAAAATTTTCAGAACAGGTTTGATTCTCTGTTGCAAATTTCCACAACACATAGAGCAATAAAATGCATCAGAATCAGTGTGCAAGGTTTCTGTGCCTACTGAATTTTAAAAAACACATCCAAAAAAACTGACTCAGTGTGCAAAGGCCTTAACCTGTTGGATGTTTTGTACATCACATGGAGTGAGTCAGAAATACAAGTCTGCTGCCTCAAGTATGTTACCAGTCAAGAGATCCTTTTGGTGCACATTGAGGACACAACGACTAACCAAGATTAGCTTGAAATTCACTAAACCAGGCTGAAAATGAAGAATATCTGAAACAATTTGAATTTGAAGCTGCCATCTTGGGCTTTGGGTAACTGATTGACAATTTTCACAATTTTCTGACATCTTATAGGCCAAAAAACTAAACATTCAATCAAGAAAATAATCAACAAATTAATCTACAATGAAAATGATCACCCTACTGTAGCAGCATGGTGGTTGGAAATGAGCAAAGATGAAATGCCTTTAATTGTACCCAAGAGACTACTGTCTTATGTAATGCAAGTTACATAATTCTAACTACAGCAGGACTAATCAAAATATAGACTTGGTCCAAAAAATGACTTTGATACCTGAAAATCAGTATACTTCCTTACACAGCTATTGAATTTCACATGCAAGGTCAAGAAAGATGTGGTTATACAATACGTGTATTACATGACCCACAAGTCATCCTTTCTTGGCAAAAGTGGTACTGTTACAACCATCCCATTGTTACAACCATAACCGATCTCCCCTATGTTTAAAGTTTTGTTCAAAAAGAAGGCAGTTGTCATACTTTCCTGCCTTACTTTAATTGGGTTATTCAAAAAAGAAGTTATTTTGGGGTGGTGCAAGAGAAGGAGCTTGTAGGTCATAAAGTGTCCCTCTTTTGTTGTATTTCCGCGGGAGAAGATAGAGAGAACGCTCAGAGGATGGTATTAAATGGCCCTTTTGTCAAATTGAGTGCCTGCGATAAGAGGCTCCTCCATGTTATCAAAATTCCACATCATCTGGATTAAATTTCCTTTATTATGCAGTGAGACTCTCGTTGTGTCACTCTCTTCCTCCATTCAGCTTGCTCCTTATACCTTCTTTATTATTGCTTTTTTTTCATGCTCTCTCAAGCACTCAGCCTCTCCATCATTTTTTGACTGACAGATAATGAAGAACTGCAAGGTCATAATTTTGGCCTTTTGCTTACAAAGTGCGCTGATGTGATTTAAAGAATCAAGCCGCTGAGAGAGGCCTAATTTAAGTTTGTATTAAATGCATGGCCTGATGTGAGATGTGGTTTAAAAAACTTTCAGCTTTGTGGGAACAACAACAACACGGGCCTGGGAGGATAATGAAAAAGTAGGCGATGAATTGTAGGCTGAGTCAAAGCACAATGTGAATCAATAGCGAGCCTTCAGGGGATATAGTGCTGAAGAGGTGGTGCTGCTGTGGATGTGTTTGTGAACATGTACATGTACAGTACAAGTGTGAAAAACCTGCAGGAATTTGCATGTATGTGTACGTGCCAGCAGCCTGTCAAAACACAGTCAGAGACAAACAAGACACAGACACATGCTCGGTTCTGTTATGGTGTTTGCTCACTTACAGCAGTATCTGGACAGATCTCCATATCTCCCTTCATTTCGCTGTGTTTCTTGGGCGTGGAGATCCCAGGCGGCGACGCAGCCACGCAGTTGCCCTTCACAGCAGTCCTGCGAGGAAATAAGATTTCATCTGTTTTTATGTCTGCATGCCGAGCCCCTCCTTTATCAACTTGCCAGGTGGAAAGTGAGCCTGCTGGTAAATTGCATTGACCTGCTCTTTTGGATTCAAACATATGAGCACAGAAATGCCGTCAAACGTTTAACAACCTCTATGAAGTGTTCCCTTCCTAGTGATTGCAGCTACTCTGGATAAAAATCTGTCAGCTGTGATTTGAAGTGGCAAATCAATGAAGTGAAGAGTATGAGATGTGCAGCTTTCCTGGCTTAGAGATGCCTTTTCTCGAGTGTGCTGACTATGTGTCTGGATGTTGGTCCGAGAACTGCTTATACTCCCCGGAGTGGAGTCATAACTCAAACGGACAGCTGCTGTTGGTGCCGTTTATTTATCATTTTCTCTGAACACACAAGTTTAACGTAGCAATGTCTCATGTTTAATTTAAAGGGCGGGTTTATCTGCATTCTTTTCCATGTTTTTATAATTGAAACTCCCAATTAGCTGTCATCAGAGATGTAGGTTACAGCACTGAAGCTAAGCAGTGTAGCATACCGCTGTGAACGTGAAAATCACACAATAACACCAACTACCACATCAGAGGCAGCAGTAACAAGTAGGGGAGAGTCGCCTTGAATTAACGCATTACAGCTGTAACACACACAATTCCTCTTGCTATGTAGAAGTCATCATTATGTCATCATGTCGGTAGTGCAGTAGAAGATCCCTGAGAAATATCAACAGGATTTACCCACTCTGTAGCAGATGGCAGTTGGAAAATCACTTAAGCACAAACTACATCAGAGTTAAGATTCAGGGTTTTTTTTCAAATAAAATGTTGTGGGTTTTTTTTGTATATTGTGGAACTAAAATCTACATTCTTATTCCTTAATCAGTTAGCGTAGTTTTCACATGTCATGCATGCTAATTCTGGTCTGGAAGGAACGCCAAAGCACCAATGCGTCCAGCAGCTCATTTGGAACATCGGTTAAATTTGTAACTGCCTAGATATAACTTGCATGTCTGCTTTTCGTCAATAAAACTTACAGATATTTATGGACTGTGTGGCTATAGCATAGACTGTAAAGCTTAGTGACTTGGGGTGCTGCTTCGTTGACCCTCCAGGGGTCATGTGCAATTACACACACGCTTCTCCAAACTGCATACACTCTGTGTTCTGTCAGATGTCACTCAGTTATATTCTAAATCAGATAAAGGGTTGTATAGTGTTCTTACAACTTCCATCAATCAAATTTGCTGACCACGTAGATGTAGTCAATGTATTTGCCAATGAGGCCATCGGATAAGTTTTAATACTATCATTATGTTCTATACAAAATCTAATCACATGCTTGGTCACCCACCTGCCAAGAAGCTCTTTCACAAACTGGTCTTTGCCGATAAAGGCAGTTGTACACTGGATCTGGCTGGCAATCTGGCCCATCTGGTTGTTGCAGTGGTCCATGATGGAGCTCAGCTTGTTGTTCATCTCAGACAGATTCTGCACCTCCTGACTGTCTCTCTGCTGGTTATCATTTTTCTTCTTATCCTTCTTCTTGTCAGACTTCATCTGTTTGCCTCCAAGCACTGATCCAATCTTCAGCTCTTTCTTCTCCTCTTTCCCCTTGGGGGAGTCTGCTTTCTTACCACTAAGAGCTGGGAGCTTGCTCTTACGGAGGCCAAACCAGTTTGCCAGAGAGGGGCCTGTCTTCTGTTTGGCCTCGCTGGCAGCGACCTTCTCCTGTTCTTGACATTTCTGCAGATTCTCTTCGATTCCCATCATGACTTTCTCCTCAATGGTGCAGACTGTTGGGCTGTTTTTTTTATCCTCTGTATCTGGAGAGTCTGTCTGGGTTTTGACTTCCCTCCTAAAGTCCGGCTCATTAGGCGTCTCTTGCACCGGGTTTTCTGAGCTATACACACAAGAGGAGGGAGGTTGAAACTGAGGATGAGAGGCAACTTTTGCTGGCTTACAGATGTTGTTCATACCAATTCGATCGCTTATGGGTAAGCTACGTGCCTCTTTTTGAGAAGGCGAAGTGATTGCCTCTCCCTTCGCTGTGCCCTGTGACCCTTCACCTTTGGAGCCTGATTTAGAAGTTCTCTCAGGGAGGATGTTGTGACTATTTGATCCTGTCATGCCTCCATAGTGGCTAAGCCGAGTCCTGGGGGAATGGAGAGGGCTGTCTGTTAACCCAACACTTGGTACCTCCAACGAACTCTGTCTTGACAAAGAGTTCCCCCTTTCACCTGAGTTGGTGATGATCTGTGTTCGGATTTTTCCCAGCCCATCTAGTGCATTGATGTTGGGTTTTTCAATGTAGTTGGTGCTGAAACTCTGGCTACGAGCTTTAGCCCCATTCATCCCCAGAGCCGGCTTTAGATGAGGTTTGGTGGAAACAGATATGGATCTAGAGAAAAGCTGACTACTCCTTTTCCCTTTATCGCAAACCTCCCCTTCCTCTGTAGCTTGTACTCCTTCTTCTTCTTCCAGTAACCTACACCGGACGTCACCTTTCCCCTCTGACATCTTGGATGGCGAATCAATACTGAATGCTGGCTGCAAGCTGTCACACTGGGTAGAAGCATTTGAGGTCACAGTTTCTTTGGAGACTGAGTTGATATGATCTTTCTCTTGCTTGCCTGGTATAGAGGGACTATTTTTATGGCTTGGGGGAGATTTTAAAAAAGCTTTAAACCCCATTGGGATGCGAGTCTTTGAGGCTTTATCTGCAGTGTTTGGGGAAGTAATAACCGAGCTTGGTGGGCTGACAACAGCTTTTTGTGGCTCTGCTTTACCTTGAGGGGCATCCTGAAGCGATAAAGGTAAACTAATAGATGTCTTCTGCACTGTCTGATAGACATTTTCATGGGTTGATCCTCTTTTACTTGCAAATGAGTTCTGAAGCGAGGACCCTCTGAGGGCACTGTAGGGAGGAGGGACATTCTTTGAGCTTTTAGGTGCATGTTCAGTTTCTGGAGCACACCCTGAGTTTGCAGAAGGGAGGTAGTCTTTTGTGGTCATCCTCTTGGAAGTGCCTTTTGTAGGTGTCTGAGTCATGGCAGGGGACTTTTGAAGGTGCTGACTGGTTTTCTCGACCAGTCTCTGAGGTGCAAGTGCAGTCCCGTAGCCTGCATCCAAGTCTAAACAGTCTTTATCCTTGATGGGTAGCGTTGTTTGCATATTTGGTACAAGTGAGGTGTGGTAACTTGGGGGAGGGCCCCTCACAGTGGTTGATGTGGATGTTTGAGCCACCCATGTTTTATGTGCTTGAGGCGACCCTTCGTAATTTGGTCTGATTAGTAAGGAGGTGGTGCGGCCTGGGGGAGGGGGAGGAGACGGGGACCTGAGTTTATTTTTGCTGGTTTCACAGTGTTTGTCTCTGGTGGGCTGTTCACCATTGTCAGCATACTCCAGGTGCCTCCTTGAGAGGTGTGGGGAACTGGAGGAGGAACCCTTACTACACTCGGCCCTGCTGGGGAGCTTGGAGTTCACCTCCTTTGGGCTCTGTGAACAGGTTCCTGAAGTCTTTATGAACCTGGACATTTTAACTGCAGGAGAGGAGGGGGATTTCTCCTGACTAGAGAGTCCTGAGTTTCCACAATTACTTGGTTCAGTGGAAGAGCCCTTTGACACTCTCAGTGGGGACCCTGAAGGTTTGTTACAACCGGGTATCTTTGAACCACTGGACTTGGGAGCAGTAGAATCGCTCATGGGAGGGATGGAATGGCCTTTATTAGGTCGGCTGCTTGGTGGTTTGATAAGTTTCCTTTGTGGAGTCAGCTGCATTGACACCCTCTCTGCACTGCCCTCCCTGCTATTGCTTGTTTTACTAGACCTAATTTGACATTCAGATGGTTTCTCTGGAGACTCAAGAACAGTGTAGTTTCTTGTATTTGCTGATTTTTGCCTTGTTGGCCTCTCTTGGGGCACTAGCTCTGTGTAATCAGCAACTACCTTGCTATTTTGAATGTCATTTCGAAGCCCAACACCTGTTGTGAGCTTATGAGCACAAAGTTCAATAGGCTCTCCTTCTGCATCAAATATTGCCAGTATGCTCTCCTCAGACTGAGTACACTTGGCCCCTTTGGGCTCCTTAATTAAGCTGAAAGGCCTGGGCCTCCCATCTGCAGACTGGGTGCGTCCCTGTTCCCTTCGCAAGCACTGTTGTGTGAGCAGCTTGGCAGCATCTCTTGACACTCTCTTGGAGTCCCTCTCCTCCTGCTCCAGTGGCTGGCTAAAGGACATTCGGATGTCATTAGACTCAGAGTTGAGGTCCTCTGGATCATCCACGTCAGAGAGGTGATTAGGACCCTCTGGGTCAGCAGGGTTGAAGTGCAGCAAGGATGGTTTAGTAAAAGCTGATATCCGCCCGCCCTCAGGGAGAAAACTGTCTATGAAACTCATGAGTTTGTCAGGACGCTCTTTTGAGTCACACCCAGAAGGGTGTTTCATAGCCATGTTACCTGAGCTACCGTCACCTCCACCTCCACTGTCCTGTATCCCTTCCCAGCTGCACAAACTGTCTGAGATGCTGCGGGAGAGCCTCTTACAGTAAAACCAGCTGTCCTTAGTGGGGATGTTATCTCCTCGACTGGAATGTGCCAATTCATCATCAGCATCATCAGAATCATAAGAGAACTTTTTGCCCCCAGCAGCTGAAGTTCTACCCACATGGGTAGGCTTGGACACCCCTTTACTGCCACTCTTGATACCCAGAGAATAGATGCCCTCGTTGGAGTTCATACAGTCTGACTTTGAGACCTTGGATGAAGCAGAGGAGCTCCTGTGTTTCCTCCTCTGGAGCTTTCTCAATCCCTCAAGTATATTGCTCTCCTTGCGCCTTGTGGGCAGCTGCTCCTCAAGGGCGGCACAGATATTACTTGGGGCTGATGAACCCAAACTCAACCTCTTCTCCCAAGTCAGAGATGACTACAAGGCAAAGAGACAGAGTGGGTCAACATGGATGAAAACTTTTTTTTTTTTTTCCTGAATCATCTTTACCAACCCGATCACCACAATAAATGTTGGCATGGTACATTTCTGCAAACCATGAATATGTGAAATTTGCACATTATCATTCAGCAGATACATTAAAAATCTTCATTTCAACATTGCTGTGGATAATATGCGAATTAAGTTGAGGCACAAAAACCACTTAGTTATGGTTAGAAAAATATCTAAATACCCAGTTTTAGAGACAAAATCCCGGCAGGAAAAACAACGTCTCCAGAAAAAACAACCACTTTTCAGCCACTATCGCTGCTAGAAAGACATAGAAAGGTCACTACAGAACTACCAGTTTTGAAGCCTAAATGGCAGCTTGAGAAACAAAGGTCACTATAACACCCATTCTTGGAGCCTAAAAAAATGATGGAAACACACAGATGACTTGCTACAAAAAAAGCCACATTTGAAGCCAAAAAGCCGCTGGAAAAACACCAACAGGTCACTATAGAATGCTCACGTTTAAAGCCTAACAAGCTGCTGGAAAAACACCAATGAGTCGCTATAAAATACCCACATCTAAAGCCTAAAAGCTGCTGGAAAAACACCAACTGGTCACTACACACACCCATGTTTGGGGCCTAAAAATAACTATGGAAACACACAGCCTAAGAAGCCGCTGGAAAAACACCAGTGACTGGTGTTTTTCCAGCGGCTTCTTAGGCTACTACAAAACACCCATGTTTGGAGCCTAATAAAATGCTGGAAACACACAGACAAGTCACTACAAAACACCCACATTGGAAGTCTAAAAATCCACTGGAAAAACACAGACCATACACTACAAAACACCCACATTTAAAGCCAAGAAAGCAGCCACAAAAACACCAACTGGTCGCTATAAAATGCCCACATTTGAAGCCTAAAAAGCTGCTGGAAAAACATCAACAGATCACTACAAAACACCCACATTTGAGACCTTAAAAAAAAACAACACTGTAAACACACGGACAAGTCACTACAAATCACCCACATTTGTAACCAAAGAAGCCGCTGGAAAACACCAATGGGTCACAACAAAGCATCCACATTTATAGCCCAAAAATCCGCTGGAAAAACACTAATGGGTCACTACAAAACATATATGTTTGGGGCCTAAAAAGCAGATGAAAACACCACAATGACTTGCTTCAAAACAATCTGTTTATTTGTTCGTTGGTCTTGAACAGTGGTCTGCAACATGGCAGCTGTCTTGCCTAAGAGACAAGCCATCAAACATCCCGTCCACCTCCTGATGACAAAGTCAGCTCATGTACTGTCACTTTAGAAACATTTATATGTCATGATATGAAATGTGCAGATGTAACATACTTGTGGTTTGCAGAAACGTACAATGCCAAAATTTCCTCTGGCGACCGGGCTGATCTTTACCTCCATTTTGTTTCATATTTACCACACTGGTAGTAAGATGAGGGATTAATTAGGTTCTTTGAAAAAGCCAGCAAAAAGTATCTCTACCAGTGATCTTGATGTGCTACTGTACTGCCATAGCTACCGTCTCTATTATAGAGTGAGAGGGTTTACCATTTTCCCACAGGAGCGTCCATCATTCCAGGTGTAGGAGCCACTGGAGAATTCACTACACGCACTTGACAGGGACAACTCACTACTGCTACAGCTGCTGCGTGGGTATACAGGCGCCGGCACTGTCAGACTCAGCTGGCTCAGACACTTGGCCACAGGGAGACCTGCCTTTCCATTCAACTGAACCTCCTATGAGATAAAGAAAGAGACATGACATTATGTTTGGATATAAGGTGTGAAAATCATATGGAAATGAGATAGTCATGGCCTAAAATTGTTAAGTAACTGTCATATAATGAAGATCGCTCATCCAAGCTACAACTAAGTCATCGAGCTTTTCCTGCTTTAAGAGTATTTGATGTATGTCGGCAGGTAGTGTTGCGTATCTAATGGTTATCTTGCTGTTAATTTTGTGATGAGAGATATTTAACAGACTTGACAGACCAATCAAACATTCTGGGAAAGTTTCCCAAAATGTCAAGGCAATGCACTTTTCAAACTTAATTTAAAAATATCAATCAAATTTCCCTATGCAGTCATTGCAACACAGCAGATGTTTCTCCATCTGAATTTGACTACTACTAAGTTATTTTATGCAAGATAAGATATGAAATATTTCACCAATATCATATAAGTGTGTGTATCAAATAACAGCTCACTTAAGGACATGTGATACTTTTGCACATTTAGATAACCAGATGATTGTTAATTCACATCTCGGCCATTATTATTTCATTCTCCTCCTCCTCTGCCGCTCTCAAAGCACACATTAGAGTTTATCAGGTGGCGTTCTCAGAGGGGTAAAAGGGTAAAAGAGGGGAGCAAACTTTCAGGGCTTAATGCATAATACATAAGATGACTAATGTACCACTGTGTCCTATCGAGTCATTTTTACTGACTGCAAGTCTCAATCGATGGTTTTCTGGTAATATGACAAGGATTTATTCCTCTTTGTGCCAAGTGATACTGCCAGCTCTTCCTGCTGAGAGCAGAGGAGGGGTCATGGCTTCAGATAGTTAGGTCTGTATTTTAATATCTTGTAATGATTTCTTGAGGGGGGTGGGGGTGCGGTTATGCTACCTGGACGAATTATATGGCTGGAAAAAAAAAAATCCTTGTTTTCCATTAAGCTTACACTGGAGGGAGAGTCTGTATTCCTGGAAAGCAAGAAGGCCTTGCTTCTCTCTGGCTCCAGAAGTAAATCTGCCGCAGATAGATCCATGATCCGAGAGTGGAGTTTCTGAAAGGCAAAAAGGACACACCAGAGTGAATTTTGACTTTAGATATTCATGGGTAAGTTCAGTATTTTTCAAACTATACCCCAATTCTCCATGTTTTGGTGTGTAAGTGACTAATGGGAACAACAATTTTCGAAATTGGTCCAGTGTTGAGGAGATCAAAACAGAGTGCAATGTAACTACTAGGGGCATGTTTGCACCTTCAATGTAGGTACACTAAAAATGTTTTTGCCACTGACAAGCTCAGATTGTCATTATAAATGTTGGACATTATGGAAAGGATCCCTACAAATACAGACCTTTTTGTTAAAGAGTAAGATCCTTTTGTTTAACCAGAAACAGCCTCAAAGTTCCAATCGCCAAACTCCATTTAATTTTTTTTTTTTAATTAAGTAATATTAACATAGGAAAACGGTCTTCATTCAAAGTCAATGGGAACAGTCACCCAGTTAGCTAAAATTAATCTAAATGGAGTCTGGCAGGTCAGGTGATGGCGATTTCAGAGAAAGAATCCCCACAGAGATAGACCTTTTTGTTAAAGAATAAGATCCTTTTTTGTTTGATCAGAAACAGCCCTGAAATCATCATCATCAAACCCACCAGACTCCATTTAAATAAACAGTAATGTTAGCATTAAGAGAGCCAGCATACATCTAAATGTGTTAATTTAGGGTTAATTTCAACCACACCTAAGTTGGTGTTGTTGGAACAGTGGAAAGAAAAACCAGAATGCTTTTTGTGAGTTTCAGTTTATTTCTGTGAACTTTAACTGAAGTGTGTTTCCCTATGATAAAATGACTATTTATTTAAATAGAGTCTCGCGGGTTTTGGGTCTGTTTCTGATTAAACAAAAAGGATCTTACTCTTCAACAAAAAGGTCTATCTCTGTAGGGATCCTTTCCATAATGTTGTCAGACACTTAAAATAACAATCTGAACCCATCAGTAGCAAAAACAAACACTTTTAGTGGACGTAAACTGAACGTGACAAATGCCCTAAGTAGTTATTTTGTGGCCTGTTTGAGGCTGCTGGCTGCAGCGCTCTCACTTTATACTGGTCCAATTCAAAACAAATTGTTGTTCCCATTCTTCACTGCGACAGAAAAACATGGAAAAATAAGGTCCAGGTGGAGTTACCCTTTAAAATGAGCCTCAGTATATGACTGAGACTAACAGCAAAAAAGTAGGGAGAATTCTTTTTCCTCCCAAGTCCAATAATTTCATCAACTTTAAAACATGCAATATATATTTTTTACCACTTTGTGATCCCTTACAGTAAATCTCCCAAGTTATAAAAGTGTCAACAAAATGAAATCAAACAAAATCAGAATTTGTTTTCCAACCTCTCTAAAAGCCATACAGGATGTTGAGGCAGAGCATTATTTTGCCGGCCCATCAGATTCTCTCCACTGGCGCCACACAGAGCCCTGATTCATACCCCTTGCTCAAAGTCATTAATGTCATCGGCCAGAAAAAAATTAATGTGAATCGGAAATAATTGCATCAGGGAGTAAGGGATTCCTTTGATTTTTTTTTTAATTCATATGCTAGTCTGCAGTCTTGTCTGTTATTTAACTCCTGTGCTTAAGAGGAAAGGACACAAAACCAAATACATTTCCGTGTATTAATCTCAGAACTTAATTACACTGGGTTCCCTGTGCTCAAATTAACTTAAACTGGAAATATGCCGGAACATAACACTTGATCTTACGCTGCGTTTCCTGCCAAGGGTAAAACTAATGCTCACTCAGGGAGTATGTGTATACACACACACACGTGTATTTCTGCACTGTGATATATTTCAGTCCCACTTTCTAACATTAAAATGAAATGCACGTCTCATGCTGTGCACCTGCAGCAGAAAAAAATATTTATCAAGAAAACTGCATGTTATAAAAGTGAAAGTCACCTTCAGCAAATGGAGACTGAGCTTTGAAAACCAACAGCTCAAATTTTCTATCAATGCCATAAACATTTTAAAATAAAAGCCGGTGGATTCATCTTCCATTTTATTGTGTTCTATAAAACTCTTTGCTGACAGTTTGTATTGACTTTTTCTCTGTTGTGAAAGACGTCCTCTGAACATTTTGGTGCGGGGGGAAAAAAAGAAAGAAAACAGCTCCTAATGATACCAAAACTTAACTGCTTCTTCTGTCTCTTAAGACCAAACAACCTGCATCACTGCGCCTGTGGCCAAAACATAACCATCCCACGTTTTTCTCTTCAACTTTCACAGAACATCCAAACCAAAAAGCTTCTTTTGTATTAGAGCGCGCATGTGAATAAGACTTTTCACCTTCAGTGACTAGGTGGTAATGGTGCCATGGAAACAGATCGATGCCCACTTTCAGTGCTTTTTCAGCACAGTAATAAGTATTCATGCTATTTTTGGGATTCATAAAACGTCAAGCTCTGCATGATCTTTACAATATGGTTCAATTGAGTTCAAAGGCATTTAGACTGTGCAGGATTTCTCAGTTGTTACCTTTTCCAGGTCACACTTGGGCTGTTTTTAACTGTAAAGATTAATGGGCATTGCTCTTTTAAAAATTATCATTATATTAATCTGTATCAGTCATTTTTGTCTTACTAGCTTGGACTCAAAGTGCCACATTGTTCTCATCCCAGATCATGAAATGAAATTTGTGCAGCTCCAATGCCGCATCGACAGGCCTCCCTGCTGTCCACAGAGAGATGGGAGTGGCTGAGGTGTCACGGGAGGTTCTGATCTTATCGTAGGGTGCAGGATTTCACCTCCTCAGCATCCTCATCAAGCATTCAGTCAATAGTGTCACAGGGTCGAGGGGGGGGGGGGGATCGTCGAAGGAAACGGTAGATGACAAGGCAGTGTGCACAGTTCTTGAACTTTTTGAGGTTCAAGGCCAAGATCAAAGTCATAAATTAATATATTAAAGATTGTAACATATTCTGCAAACTTGGCTCTTTATTAAAGAGGAGCTATTATGCTCAATTTGGGGTTCATGCTTGTATTTTGGGTTTCTAATAGTACATGTTTACACAATTTAATGTTCAAAAAACACTTCATTTTCCTTATTCTGTTTGTGCTGGAACACCTGTATTCACCCCTCTGTCTGAAATGCTCCGTTTTAGCGCCTATCTCTTTAAGTACCCCTTCTGAAAACCTCTGACTGCTCTGATTGGTCAGCGTTTTTAGGTCTTTGGGATCTCAGCCTCTCTGGACTGTAATTGCAGCCGGGGAATGACTGTAACTATCATGAAAAACCACCAATTAAAGCTTTAATTTAACACAAATATGGTCTGTAAATGGGGAATACGTTTCCTGACATAACCACGTTGCTACATGTAGCAGTGTAGTCTATGTAATATAAAGGCGGATTTATAGCTGGCCTACACCTTTTTTTTTCTTGTGCGGTGGCATGCTTGTGTCACTCAACAGTTACACCTCCAAAACGCTAGTGGGCAGTGTTTTTTTTTTTTTATAGTGCTGTGAAGTTTGATTGATTCAAAATACAACTAAAACACACATACTTAATTGCGAAAATTGTGTCCAAAACAGCCCCAGTATAACACCTAAGATTCACAGACAGAACACTTGTCTTTTGCTGGACAGATTTTCCTCACAAATATAAAATGCTAACGTTATTAGCACAAGCCTATGGCATTTTACATTGTTAAATTAAGCTAGGGGCTAGCTGAGTTTTTCTTTGCTCATTTAAATTACACACAGGAAATAAAATGCCATTTTGTGGGGGATTTACTGTCTTCACACTTTATTGTTTCTTTTTGATCTGTGAGATAAAAGTAAATAAAAGGTTTGTTTGCACTGAGGGAAATGGTTTGCCTGCTTTTAGGTTACTGGAGAGGTGCATGTCAGGCTACAGCGTAGGGTATGCTTCTAAGCAGAGCATACACCGTAGGTACGGCATAATTTCGAAGCAAAAGTATAAATCCTGCTTAAACACTCGCAGTAGCATGCTGATAGCAGATGACCATATGAAGAAGTCTGTCACGATCTAATGTCAGCTTGTAGCCAAAGGAAACATGGTATTCAGAATGGTCTGAAGCCTGAGTTTACCCCTCACAGGGATTGCTTTTGCATACATTTACCTCATTATTTAAAACTTTGGACACATTTTAAATAAACATCTATCATTGTAGTATCATATGTATTTCTGAAAATAAGGAAAAACATAATAGGTCCTCTTCAACTATTAGTTAACATCCATTATAGTCTCAAAGCCAATGGAGAAGTTTCGTGCATCACATTTAAGAAAAAGTAAGAGTCTTCCTGTTTTTGTTCTTTGTCATTTTTGGCTTGACAGTGATCATATTTCAAGATAATGAATAACAGCCCAGAATAGCAGCAATAGGCAGCTTCCAAACAAATACATCAGTATTGGCACCCGCTGTCGAAAACCACCGCAACACACCCACGCATACACACAACAGCGGGTCGACGAGCAGTCAGAGAGAAAAGACAGACGCCCACGCACGCATAAATTCATACACACACGATGCTCACCTGCGTGACCCTATCTATATGTCTGACTCATCACAAAGGATTTTCCTAAAGCTCCAGCTACACACAGCCCATTAAACTACACCAAGATATGAGACAAAGGCTCAGCTGTAATATGACAAGACGAAGGTGAGATTTATGGAGTTCTATTGAAAAAAAGTCATTCGATATCTCTAAAGCTTCATGACAATTTAAATAAATTCACCGCTATTACTGAAAAGTGGCATCATTTGTTTAAATTTCCAACTTTTCTGGGGGGAGGGCAGAAACTTTCCGCTGACAGCTGTGGCAGCAACACACGTTTGGCTGTACAAAATTGCATGAACAGTAATGAGGTCATGGCGTTCATGCTGTGTCCTTGGGGCCCTGAGGTAGAAACACTGAGTATTTGTCCCAGTAATGGGCGACTCAGTTGCCACTTGCCTGTCACATTTGATAAGCAGCATAAGTGGATGGGACTGCACACCAGTTATTTTCCCTTGGCTTGCAAATAGTGCATGGCTTGAGAAAACAACCGTCATTGTTATTTTGAAACGGCAAATGTCAGATTTTTCTGAAATGAAAACTTGGCATTTTTGGACTCAAAACAATTTAGCTGAACGTGGCGAAGGTGCATAACTGGTAAAGCTTTCATTAAAGCGCTATGGTTCTTTATCAGAGAAATTCAAGATGCCCACGGGGAAACTAGAGAATGTTTAATTACTGATAAGCAAAAGGTCCAGAGCTAGATGGAAACAGTACACTCATAGGGGTGATTAAGTCTCCCTCCGCTTGAGGCTCCAGGAGAAAGAAGAAATTAAAAAGTTATTTCCATATTTTATTGGAAAGTCTAGATAGTTTAGTGAATGAGATGTGAAAACTGTTTGTAATTACACAAGGGTGTCGGTTTGGTTTCAGAATTACCATAAAAATCCTCTTCAACCTCCGCCATTAAGGTTGATTTCACAAATTTTTCTTCTTCTTATCACAAAGAGAGCATAAAAGAATAATTTGGGGAAAAGCCGGAGCCAGAAGCAAGTTAGTGTAACTTAGCCCAAAGACTGGAAACAGTGGGAAACAGCTGGTCTGGCTCTGTCGAAAAGTCCGGGCACCTCTAAAACCCACTAATAAACACATTATATCTTATTTGTTATTCAGGGGGAAAAAGTATTTTAAATGTGGTAGGCAGAATTTGTCAGCATTGGAAAGAGCCAAGTTTCCTGCTGTTTCCAGTCTTTGTGCTAAGCTAAGTTAGCAGGCTCTTGAGTAGGCTATGGCCCCTATCACACTGAAAGCGTTTTAGCAGCTGGAAGTGGCTTTTTGTAATTTTTGTCACTATTTTTGTTTTGCTTTGAGCCTCTTGTTTCTGCACTCTAGGCACCTGGCATTTTTGCCGTAGCTCTCTGAACTCCTCAAGTTGAAAAAACTTCAACTCAGAGTGGAAAAGGACCCTACGTCATCTCACCCTTTTTCTCCATTGTCCAATCGGATCATTTTAGAGGTGGGTCTTCTGTGGTGGTCACGACAACAAGTTTACAGTTGGTAAACAATGGAGGAGAAACTGGTGGTAGTGGCTGCTGGATACCCAGAGCTATACGACTTTACAAACTGCAGTTACCATGATCTCAACAGAAAACAGCAGACGTGGAAGCATATAAGTGCAGTACTTGAAACGGCCATCATGGACCAACTAGTGGTACTCCCCGTGATCCGCCCTCTTTTTTAGGGTCTCATGTACCCACACAGATCTCCGTTTCCCTGTGCTCAACAAACTATTTACTGACAGTCTCTGACGCTCAACCAGAGGTGCAGCAAGTACCCTCTGCCTGAGCATTTTTGGTACTAGATACTAATTACTGTGAAAATAAATAAAAAAGATAAATAATTAAATAAAAAACTAAATGGTAGATTGATTACACGGGAAGGTTGGGGTAAGGAGGTGATGGGGTGGTTGCCTGGCAACAATAAAAAGGAACAGCAAGAGTTTTTTTTTTTTTAAATTTTTTTTAACCACTGGCATTTTTGCAACGCCTTCTGTGTGATTGAGACAGCCCTCCCCCAATTTATCTCAATTAGCATCTCAGCTGAAATCAACATTGTGGACTACAGTTGAAAACACGCAGCTAACATCAGCCGCTGAGCATCCTGACTGAGCCTACAATCAGGATTGTGTGTTTTCAATGTTACACTTCCAGTTTGGAAAAACAGACAAGGGAACCAGCATAGTATGGTCGGTTCTGAAAGTCACCCAACATTTTGCCATTTTGCCTCACCACTGTTCCCTACCTCCTGTCACATGTAGCAGCACCCACATGCTGATATCTCCTGTCTCTAATATATAAACCCCAGTTCAGACCAAACATTCGCAACAAGACAAAACCATTTTAGAACATTGCAGAGAAAAGTTGCAGCAGTGTGAACTGGCCAGTCTAAGCTCGACTCAAGCCGCTCATGGTGTTACCTGCAACTTAGCTTGTCAAATCACTGGCAGCTAGTTTTAGAACGTAAAGCACATGGGTCCATGTCATTGGTTCAACAGCCCATTGGTTCGACATCCCATTAGTCCGACTGTCCGCGGTGCTGAACGGCTTGCGGCGGGCGTATGGTGCGCCGCAACCGGCTTGAGGTGGAGCAGGTTCACGGCTTATGTGTTTGTCACTTTCTTTTTCATTTTAACCCACACCATGATCTTTTCCTGACCCTAACCAAGTGGTTTTTGTGCCTAAACCTAACCAGACCTTAACCACAGGGCATCATGATGATTTCGGAACGGACTTCGGAACAATGAGTTTAATATGGTCGGAACAATGAGATGTCGAACCAATGGGCTGTCGGACCAATGGGCAGTTCCCAAGCACATCACGTGTACAACCAGTTGGCTTGTAGTGAAGTCTGCTGGTCAAGTCAAAATGACCACAGAAGGTGTGTTTGCTTGCTGCAACAGGTGCTCCTACCCAGCCGAACCCTCTGTTTCCATCCTCACGGTGTGCCAGCGTCGGATGGTGGGTCACTGCTGCTGCTCAAAGTATGTGTTCATTTTCACCAACTGATTAATTGGTGCTTGTGATTTATATTATTGTGGTGTATTTATTATGAATACAGTCCATCTAATGCACGTTTTGTTTCCTAGCTGCTCCTAATGTGTGCTGATGTCACCAATATGCAAAGGGGGATATGACTTTATCCGGCAACTCTAAGCAACATTTGGAGTGCGAGCTACTTTCATTGGAAAAAGAGCTGGTAACACTGCATGCCCTCCACAGAGCTTTATATTCAGCATACAGACACGAGAGTGGAAATAATTTTTATTTTACTACTGCTTTTAAAATATGCCATCTTTCTTTTTGTATACATATATTTGGTGGTTTTATAATGTGTGCTACTGGTTTAGAGAAGACAGATAACATGAGGAACAATTCTGATTTACATACTGTTGGAAGTTCCAGTCCCCTGTGATAAATATAGATGTTTTAACAGCTCTCCCACACATGACTGGAGAGCTCATAATGGACGTACAGCACATCCGGAGCAGCGTGATCACATTATGATTAATTCTCACACTGAATCACCAGTTAGCTGATGGTGACAATGTCTTTATCAAGTAATGAGCAGCCAGGCAAATGACTCTCTGGTGGGAAAACCTACATGTTTAATGATGTGTCAACGTGGACACACAAACGTCAACACCAAATCATCACAGCGGCATGTCATCTCAGCTGAATCATATAGAAGGAAAAAAGGGAAAAACACATTATACAGAGGCTGGGCCTTAATTCTCGTCTCCAGCTCGATTGCGCCTCTTGGTCCCCACAGTGATATCATCAATATCCCTCCTCAAGCCTTTTATATTGCAGTTTGGCTTGACAATGTTCCTGTCTGTCCAATAATGGTCTTGAAAGTAGCAGGAACTGTCAGAGAGCTTTCCGACACACCCCAAACCGTATTACTCTCTTTCCTCTTTCCTTTTTTTTTTTTACTCAATTTATCTACCATTTCTGCCCCTTCTTATTTTGCCCTTAGTTTTTCACTTCTACCTCCTTGTCGTCTCAGGCGCCCGTGCTTCTCTGCTATCTCATCTCTCTCCATTTTCACCCTCCCGTCCTTCCCTTCTTATCTACCCTTGCTTGCCTCCTGTCTTTTCATCCTTTCTCCATCTCCTCTAGTCTGGCTGGACTGACAGCTTCTACTCTATTTTCTTTTCTGCATTTTCATATCGACAGCATGGAGACACAATTTACACAATTATGTGAAACCCTACTATCCAAACTGACCTTGCAATGCTATATCACTGTTTACAATAGATGGGTAGCAGAAAGTGGCAGGTCTGTCTGTCTCACAATTACACCTTTAAAATCTCGCTGGAATGCACACACAGGCATTTTTTCAGTAAATTGGTGTTTTCCAAGGGACCGAAAAGATGAACTGAGGCAATTTTCAGCCACTCCAAATAGGAGAATGTGGGGTTTGTGGAGAATATAAATACAGTGGTTGGTGTGCAGTGTTTTCAGAAGAGAGACTAGATGGTTGCTGGTTCATATCTTTGTTTTTTTTGTCTGATGAAAAGGAGACAAATCATCTCTCCATGTAGCAAAAACATTACTCAGAGTCAGAATCGGTATAAAGCTGCATATTTTATTCTGATTTGCAGGGTGCTATTATTGAAGTTATTAAGGGGGCACCAGGGAGGAAATTTAAGTTTACCTTTTTAGAAGCTGTTCTGAATACTTAGCAGAAGTTTAATGTACATCTTGGTACACTAGAGAGTCTTTGGTGAAACCATAAAAATAAAAAACTTTACACATGCAACCTCAGACTGAACCGTGATGCATGATAAACAAACCCAAACAACTACAAGGGATCTCTGCTTTAAGGCCTTTATCTTTGCCTCAAAATAGAATATCAGCTTCTGGTGAAGTGAGAGATTGATAAAGATTGATGTAAAAGAGAGTTTTTTTTGTATTCCAAATCAAAGTATTTACAGTCGTCTTTGCAGCCTCTGTCTCCAGCTGAGACCCCAGAGCCGTCTAATAACAACCCAAATGAAAAACAACTTCAAATGCATGGGAATGAGCACTCGGGTTTGTTTACTGGAGGAGCTGCAGCTTCACTCAGAGGCCGGGAAAGAGAGAGTATATGCTATATGCTAACTGGAGCGATAATGGTTGCAAAGCGCTGGGCTCTGTGTGCGCAACATACCTGGAGAAGCAGGTCCGAGGCAGGCTTGATCCGTTGCTGGAACAGAATACCCAGCGCCCGATTCTGCTGCTCGAGGTCAAAAACTCGAGTTCGCAGCTTCATGCATTCCTCTCTCAGATCCTGAGTGAGAACACAGGGGGCATCAGTGAAAATGTTTGTTCTGAGCGTGTTATGTTCAGTCTTTGTATTTGTATGAGGTATAAAAACACTGCTAATCACATACGTCATTATTCTTATAATGTGAGATTTTAATGGGTTATTTAGGCCCCGTCTACACAAATACAGATATTTCTGACAACTGATATATCCCTTTAGGTTTTGGCTTCTTGTCCACAGGCGTAGATCTCTGGAGGGACACAGAGGACACAACCCCCTTCATATTTAGAACATGTGCATTTGTACCCTACAATTAAAACATCAAAGTAGCAGATGACTTTAATTTTGACAAAGAGTTGGCCAATCAGAGCCCAGGTGGGACTAACGCCACTGTCAAGCATTGTCAAGTGGTGCACTGGAACCAATGACTTACAATGTAACAACAATGGCAAGCACTATAGACAGGAGAGATGCTGCTATCGAGGCTGTTGTAAGTAGATATGATGATGTTAGCTTCATATGGCTAAGTTGGTTTCTCGTAAAACGTAAGTGAAAATCCAATCACCCTTCCCCACAGAACTCAATGTCAGACTGAAGATGGAGATGAAGTGTAACAAGCTGACAAATCTGTCTGATATCAGGCAAGTTCTAGTGTATATGGAGATATTTTATAAAACAAAGGTTATGTGGACAGTGGTAAAATATCTGTTTGAAAAATACCTGTGTTTGTATAGACAGGGCCTTTAAAGGATCTGATATGAGGAGCAAAATGGAAATAAGACACACCTTCTGGGTGAGAAGTGCCTGCACAACTTGATTGGCAACCTAAAACACACAAAGAAAGAAAGACAAAGCATTATTGAACATTATACAAGTTGTTCATGACCTTGTATGACCCTTACAGGCCTCTGTAGGCTGACTTTGCACTGCTAAACGCTGCACTTCCTCAGGACTTCCTCAGCCAATTTACACATAAGATGAATTATCATAAGCTTAAGGGATGGCACATTGTATTACAGGCCCTGATCTGGTGTGTGTCTCTTTTACACACACACGTCTTTTACAATGTTTAACTCTCACTTCCTAATGGTGGTATCGACAGGCTGATGTAGAAGCAGAGGCGTCTGGGTCTCACAGCGGCTAACACCCGCCCGCACTTTCAGACCACAACGCCGATGCAGAAGCAGCTCCGATTACTGCCCATTGATTGCTCATTAATACCGTGTGAAGCCACATCGGTTCCTCTGAGTGCCCTCGCTCTCGTTTATTGAATGAGGAGAAATGAGAGTAAATATGGTGAAATGAGCCCTGCTGCTGGGACCGCAAGATACACATCGTCTAAAATAGCAGAGTGATCAAATAAAGCCCCACACAATGGTGTCGGACAGAGGATTTGAATGTTATATGACTTTGACACAAGTAATTAAACTACAAATGAGCTTGTACACGTGCTAAAATTTAGACAAGCAGCTGGTGTGACATAAAAAAACAATTGTCCCTTCTGTTACAAAGCAAATGTTTTCCACTGTTGTTCTGTGCAGTCGTTAAGAGAGAAACACACAGCCTCCATCATCAGAACAGGATCATTACCAAGCCCTCCTTCCACAAAAGTCAACCACATAGGAAAACAGTTGACAAGTAAACACAGCAAAGCTGAGTTGAGCCATCTTAATGAGGGCATGGAAGCAGAAAGGAGACGAGGACTGAATTCAGCCCATATACAATCCATGGAGGAAACTCTAACACAGCTGCATCACGAAACAACCCCCCCCCCCCCATCTTCTGTTCGTCTTCCATTCCCCCCTTATCTCTCACCCGTCTTTCCTGCCCTCCAGCAGTTCTGCTCAGTCTGCTGAGCCCGTTGGTTCCAGGACAAATTGGGCAACTTGTCTCTGCTGGACATACTTCCCTTTAGTGGTGCTCCCCTCCCTCCCTCCCGGAGTGATTCAGCAAGCAGGCACTGCCGAGAGCCGGGCTGGTTTATTTCCCTCTTGTGGCTCCCTAAACAGCACTTATCAAGCTCTCACAAATAACCAGAGGGCACACGAGTGCCATTGTTATGTAAACTGTTGCTTCAATACCAGTTCACATTGGGTTAAGGTTATTTAACAGCCCCATTTTAAACTTTAATACACACTACGAATAGTAACAACAATAACCTGTTGTGACCACTGAATATAGGTATGATGGTGATGCATTTGTATACTATACAGCTACATGCAGAGGATTTTACCAGCAAAAACATCCTCTCTGGCATTTCTGCTGTTATATGAGCATCAAAAAAGGCCTTCTGACATTAAAAATTAAATTGTGCTTTAAAAACATAAAAAATAACAAGTATCCTGGTTGCCTTTAAGGTTTTTAAAGGTCCAGTGTGTAGGATTTAGGGGGTTATATTGAGGAAAATGGCATGTAATATAATAACTATGTTTTCTTTAGTGTATAATCACCTGAAAACAAGAATCATTGTGTTTACATTACCTCAGAATGAGCTGTTTATATCAACATAGGGAGTGGGTCTTTGCCACAGATATATAATGATAACTAGATACCAAATGCCAAGATGGCGCCTATTCAGTCCACTGGAGTTACTAGCCTGGTGCATACATCAAAAAAAGTTTCTAGTTTCCAGGTTTACTTCCACGCTCTTCCACGCCTACTGGATATGTGCAGTAATGTTTGTCCTAGTTCCTGCTTGGCTCATAGACTTAACAGTGTGATGACGTCACAGATTTTTAAATTGCTTTTCTTGAGGAAAGTGGTGCACGTATAAAACCACCATCCATCCATTCATTTTTTTTCCATTTTCATCTGCTTATCCGGGGCCGGGTCGCAGAAGGGGCATCAGGCCAAGCAAAGCACCCCAGACGTCCCTCTGCCCAGCAACGCTTTCCAGCTCCTCCTGGGGGACCCCAAGGTGTTCCCAGGCTAGATGAGATGCGTAATCCCTGCAGCATGTTCTGGGTCTGCCCCAGGGCCTCCTACCAGTGGGATGTGCACAAAACACCTCCAACGGGAGGCAGCAGGAAGCATCCTGATCAGATGCACGAGTCACCTCAACTGACCCCTATTGATGGGAAGGAGCAGTGGCTCTACTCCGAGCTCCCTCCGAATGTCTGAGCTCCTTACCCTGTCTCTAAGTTGAACCCAGCCATCCCATGAAGAAAACTCATTTTGGCCGCTTATATCCGCGATCTCATTCTTTCGGTCACTACCCAGAGCTCATGACCATAGGTGAGAGTTGGGACGTAGATGGACCAGTAAATTGAACGCTTCACCTTCCAGCTCAGCTCTCTGTTTACTAAAACCACCATGGATTAAAAATTCATAATAAAAGAATCATAATTGATAAGGGTTAGAATTTTAAATATGTTGCAATATACTGTGATTTATTACCTTTTCATCGATTTCCCCCCCACCCCTAATAACTGATGCCTGTTTGCAGTTCATGGTGATATCCTGTGACCTGTCTTTTTAAGGATGGTCAATAGGGAAATGCTTTTTCAGCTCCTGGTTAAACCTCCTGAATAATGAACATTGAAGGAATTCTAAATAGGAGTTCACACTTGGCACATGGAAGCTTGTTACTTGTTGCAATCTGCAATCCTCATCACTAGATGCCTCTAAAGTCTTATTCACTGCTCTTTTAAAGTAACAGTATGAAAGATTTGGTGGGATTTAGTGGTGTCTAGTGGCGAGGATTGCAAATTACAACCAGTTGAAACTTCTCCCTGATAGAATTCCTTTAGTGTTCATTGTTCAGGGGGATTGTACTGGTAGTCGAATTATTGGCAGAGGTCTCTTCCTCTCCAAAACAAATGGACCAGGTGATTTAAAACCATAAAGCAGACTTGTTACAAATCAGTGTTTTTCTGATGCTGCTCGTCGCTAACAGGCTAACTATGGTGGTCGATACGAAAACATGAATCGCCCTATCTAGAGCCAGAGTTTGGTTTGTCCACTCTAGGCTACTGTAGAAACATGGCGATGCAATATGGCAAACTCCGTGGATGAGGATCCACTTATGTAGATATACCCACCCCATTCTAAGGTGATGATAAATATTTTCTTTATACACTAAATAAAACATACTTATTATATTATATTCAATTTCTACCAATACATCCCCCTAAATCCAACTCACTGGACCTTTAACATAAATCAGACTTCAGGCAGCTCATGCTGAAGCTTGGTTTAGCTTAGTGCAGCTAAAACATGCTAGCCTTTTCATGAAAATGAGATATTTTAGTGCCCAAAAATTGATAGTGTTTTCTAAATTAACTGCCTCCCTCAAGCTGTGGTTGGAGTAAATTGCCAACCTGCGGGAGACCCAGTGTGCTTTGCAGGACCTCATTAAAACCTCAATAATACTGCTCTTTCCGTTCACATGAAGTCTTAACTAATTCAGCAAACAATTGTGAACTTTCGAAGGCAAGTAAAACATCTGGCGAGTCATATGGTGTCCTTGAATGTGTATCAGAGTGAGACGAGATAAACAACACTCACCTCATCTAGACAGCGTTCATACTGTTCCCTCTGGCTCTCATTCTCCAAGGCCAAAGCAGAATTCTTCTCCTGCAAAGAACACACAGATACATTCAGGGTCAATGCAGCACGAATCTCACAGTGACTACATGTGATGCAACAAAACAACAGCAATGTAGCAATCAAGCAGAGCTGCAGCTAAGGGGAGAGTTACTTTACAAAGGTCATATGTCAGGGCTGAACCAGGATGGCCAATAAAAAATTTACAAAGCACCGCAGAGAGAAAGGTCAAGGGGATGGAAGTTATGATGCTGAACTTTGGGGCGGCAGCGAGCCATTTGGAGTTTGGACCTAATAAGAATATCTCCTCCACTTGCCAAGCGATGAGGCGGCGCCCTATTGATCTCTAGGAGTTTCCAATTTGTCAGTGGCAGGCAGCATATTAGGAGCTGTCAGCCAGCCATGCTTCTCTCGCCCTCTGCCCTTTAGTAGAAACTACCAATCCCTTGATGAAAACATGGGAAACATAATTACAACCCAAAACATTCTAATTATGCTGGGGAGAAACACTGACTAATTAAAGCCTTGAAGCCTGGTGATGGGCAATACAAATGAAATGAATGATAATTAGAGAAATCTTGTGTGTCTTTGTGGCTGGAATTTCTATTTTTAGGGGATATCTTCAACTAGAGATATTTTTTCATTTATCTCAGTTTATTAATTAATCTATAATTAAAACTTACGCATGAGGCATATTCCTGTCATAAACTATTTAAAAAATCAAGATAAAATCCCTTTTTTTTCCCTTTTTTTTTTTTGTCAACTCAACAGCATGGATGAATGGGCCTGCTGGGCATAAACCCAGAGGCCCAAAGTTTCAGGGCCCCCCCTGGCCTTCACCCGCATAATGACACTCAAACGAACATGTACAGTACTAACCAGAACAAGACTCAAAATCACCACAAGGAGATGAAAAATAACTCCATAGAGATGCAAATGTGCTACAAAGTTACAAAAAAGGACCTTAAAGAGACGCAAAACAACCACAAGAGGACGCAAACTGACACAAAACAAGTACCAGGAGACAAAGAACAACTACATGAAACACAAAATGACTACAAAGAGATGGAAAGTAACTGCAAAGAGACACAAAACAACCACAAGAAGACACAATATGACTGCAAAGAGACACAAAGTGACTACAAAGAGATGAAAAGTAACTGCAAAGAGACACAAATTTACGACAAAAAAGGGCAAAACAACCACAAGAAGACACAAAACTACAAAGAGCACACAAAAAAACACAAGAAGACAAAAAATGACCGCAAAAACACACAAAATGACTACACAGAGACGCGAAATTAATACCGACAGACACAAAATGACCACAAAGAAATACAACATGACTAAAAAGATACACAAAATGAGGACCAGGAGACACAAAATGGCTACAAAGGGATGCAAAATGACAACAAAGATATGAAAAGTAACTGCAAAGAGACACACATTTACAACAAAAAGGGACAACACGACCACAAAGAGACACAAAACAACCACAAGGAGACACGAAATGACTACAAAGACACACATAATGACAAAAAGTGACACAAACTGCCCTCTAAGTGACACAAAATCACTACAAAGAGACATTTTTAACCAATGTAAAGTGTCTTTGAGTACCTTGAAAAGCGCTCTATAAATAAAATGTGTTATTATTATTATTATGTGACTGCTAAAAAGATACAAAATGACCACAAAATGACCACAAGAAAACACAAAATGGCACAAAGGTATGAAAAGTAACTGCAAAGAGACACCAATTTATGGGGCAAAACAACTACAAAATGATGACAAAGACACACAAAATGAGTACCAAGAGACACAAAACAACCACAAAAGGACACAAAATGACTGCAAAGACACAAAACAATCACAGACTATACAAATTGTCCACAAGAAAACACAAAATGACTATAAAGAGAAACAAAATGACTACAAAGAGATGAAAAGTTACTGCCATGTGACACAAATTTACTGAATACACAAAATCACCACAAGAACCCACAAAATGACCACATACAAAAATACCATAAGAAACACACAAAAAAAGAAAAAAAAACAAGAGCAAAACTTCTACAAAGAGTGTTTTCTTCCTCCTTTGTAGGAGAGGTTGTGAACCTTTCTGCATATCTGTGCCCATTTTCTCATAATCCACCCATGCGGTCAGTACTACACCTACATGAGAGCTCTTTTTGCAACTGAAGTAGCTGTTATTTGAAGTGTTATCTGACTCTCTGGGCCAAAGTAACAAAATGCAACTTAAGTGGTATTATGTTACCTGATACCTGACATGAAAGTTATTGCAGCTTTATTGGTCAATGATACAAAAGCCTTTAAAAGGTTGAAATGAGAATCTCAATGTCATTTAGATTTACCAAAGAGAGTATTGTAACATTTTCCTTTATCATTGTTCCCTCGATAGAATCCTATAGTTGATTCAATGGAAAACCTCTCTTGGCTTACACAGACTGTACAGACAGACATGTATGTGACAACAACATTTGAGAGGTGACACAGTTTTTAGGGATTATTTCCATTTCTTTCTGCTGCTGCTTCAGGAGATTGTCTACAAGCGCAGCACAATGCACACACTGACATGAGAGCAGTCACTTCAAGAACAAAGAGATAAATGCAGAGCAATAACCATGTTTACTGTGATGGATTATGTCTCCATGGCAGCTCTCAGGCTTGTGGAAGTTGTTAACATAACGTGCATGAATGAATGACAGTGATTTGAAGGTGAAACCAAGGGAATCCTTGATGTCTCAAACACTTGTTAACACACACTGGTTAAATTGTTAACAGGTAAGAAGGTATTTTTCAACCTGGATCCTATTTTTCCATGTTTGCGTGTCTACATGTAAGTGAAAAATGGGAACAACAATGCAATGTAACCACTCAGGGCATCGCTAATTTACGAAGACTGAAAGTGCTTTTTGCCACTGAGAGGCTCAGATTGTTACCTTAAGTGTCTGACAACAGTATAGAAAGGATCCCTACAGAGATCAGTGTTTTGGAGGAAGACAAAAGAGATCAGGTTAAAAAATCTGTTTATACTTAGATTCTATCTATGGGGATAGAACCCCAACCCCAGTTTAAGGTTGTTGTTTTTTAGCTGTACCCAGAAGTTAAATTAGACTGTAGCTTCCTTTGTTTTTTGAGATTTGAGGGAGGTATACTGCAGGTTGTGGTGACACAACCCACATTATGCCCCCTCCTACAATAAAATTACTGTTTATTTATATGGAGTCTGGTGGGTTTGGTGACAGCCATTTTGGGGCTGTTTCTGGTTAAACTGAGAGGATCTGGCTCTTACGACAACATAAAGGTTGTTGTTGGGATCCTTTCTATAATGTTGTCAGACACTTAGAATAACAATCTGAGCCTGTCAGTGGCAAAAACAAGCACTTTTAGTGGACATAAATTGACGGTGCACAAATGCCCCAACTGGTTACATTGCAACCTACTGCCTGCAGCTCTATCACTCAATACTGGACCAATTTCAAAAATTGTTGTTCCCATTAGTCACTAAGACACAAAAACTTGTGAAAATATGATCTTTAGCAACTGACATAAACATTAAAAATACCTTTCTTAGTATTGATAAGGAAATACAAACACAAATTGTACTATAAAACTACAGTATAAGTCTCTGTATGATGCAATGTATTCTAAGCCAAAGATTTACCATGAAGCACTTTGTAAGTAGTCCTCTGAGGCCACATGGGTAATTTTAGCACTTACGTTCTCATCATTTAACAAGTAAGATGACCAGCAGGCATTTCTCCCAAAGTCTGAGTGTTTTCATTTAAGCCCCAGTTATAGACCACAGTGCGTGCCTGCCAAGTTAATGAACACTATCAGTTGAGCAGGAGAAATAAGAGCCGGGCAGTGCTTACTTAGCGTCAGTGGAGTTTATGCACAACGCAGGGCAGTGATGTATTGCCTCTGCTTTGCTCCTGCTGCTTTAGCCGGCGGTGCATCCATCACCGGCACGGCACAATGGAATAAAAATGGCAGATAACTTTCGATAAAGCCGTTTAAAATGTAATGTTTAGGTAATGCGCTTCATCAGGTGGATCGGCGGGACAGGCTGACTATACTTCCTGCCAGTTTTGGAAGATAACTTACAGCTGAGGAGCAAGAGGCAATTACCTGCCACTTTGCTCTAATTAGGGTCTATTTTCTATCAGGGAGGCATGTGTGTTAGACTTTTTTTCTTTCTTGATGTGTGTGCTCTGAAAGAATACTTAAGCAGCTTGTTAGAAGGGGGTGTCAGCTTCTTGAATACTTTACTGTCCTTCTAAAAATACATGATTTGAGATGATGTAAAGACGTTATGTCACATGCCAACATCCACAGGCCATGTGGAGCCACTTAGAATTGAGAAGGTAAGACTTGTGGCCTAATTTAATTAAGTCTGAGTCCTTTAATTGAAGAGATCTGAGAGGATGTGTCCGGTGGCTTCAGAAAAAAAAAAAAAAGAATCAGCGTGGTTCACTGTGGCTGCGCTCCTGCCTCGGCTGTTGCTCGGGGGCTCGTGTCGGAGTGCAGCTCAAATCCCCCGAGCACGGAGGAAAACAAACCAAAGCTGGAGCACAGCCCAAGGCCCCTGCGGCAACTCTCACAGGATGACTTTGCTCTCCGAACGAAGAAGACTAGAGAATGTGATGAGCTGTCATGCTTTCAGACACAACTGAGCAAGGACTCTGACAACTGGCAGACAGACTGGCCACAAAGGATAGCCAGGGGTGGCTGGAAGTGTGGATGAAGAGGAAGGAAGCGGCAGAAGAACAAAGACGGTATGTAGAGACAAAGGAAAAGAAGGGAAAGTGGTAAAGGTGGCGAGGTAGTTACCTCCAGGGCCTTGAGGCGATCCAGAAGGAGTTTGGTTTTGTCTTTGTCCTCTTCTGCTTGGCTGGCATCAGGATCAAGCCCTGGGTCTGGCTCCGTTTGTGGCAGGGAGCTATTCTCTTCGGGGCCATCATGCTGTTTCTGCACTTCCTCTGAGAGTTTATCCTGACGCACAGAAAACAAGACGAGGGTTAGAGGGAGAGAAAGGAGAGGAGAAGGAGGGAAATTTGGCAAGTCAAAACCTTGAGCAGATGGGAAGAAAGCGTTCAGAAGCGAGGTACGGCAAATGTTTCAGGGCAGGATGCAAAAACGGGTAAAGAGCCGTGAAAGACAGAAATCAGAAAGAAGGAGAAAGCCAGAGAAGAAAGAGGAGAGGATCAGATGGGCAGACGGGACAACAGGGAGGCAGCTTCGACAACAGAGCTCCAAAACATCCCCTAATCCCTAATCATGTTTCACTTGTTTTCCAAAGAGTGGCAGTGACCTTGAGGGCTTTCGTCTCGTCTGTGTTACGGGAATCCCTCTCTCTTCTATCCGTTGCTTTGCCAGCTCTGTCGCTTTTCTTTTCTTTCTTTTTTTTTTTGGCTTCCTGGCATCTGAGATAATTAACTACTGGTAATAATTAGCTACTAATTAGGCAATGTCTGGCTAGCACCAAACTGCAAAAAGAAAACACAATGAGCTCTCTGTCACACTTGAGAGATTATTCATCTTTCTTTTTTTTCAAGGACGCCTTGGAGCCTGAAAGTATGTACTTGTTCACTGAACATCTATTCACCAGAACAATATGTGGTGGACAAAACTAATTCCTCTGAGCTGTAACAATGATAATTTATGTTTTTTAGTAATTCATTTTAAGTATAAAGCAGATAAGAGAGATATTTACTTGTTCCAGCTTCTAAAATGTGAGGATTTGCCATTTTTCTCAATTTTATAACCAATGTTGGGTAATTTTTTTAACTCCTTTTAAATGACCCTTCACTAAGTCCTGCCCCTCAAATGCAGACTGGCCAAATCGTGTGGCATCGGCCAGCTCTGACAAAGGGAAATAGCCATTTGTTCTCTGTTCCGAAACCAAAATCAAACCCTGATAAGTGTAATGGTAAATGGGTGTAATTGTAAATGGTATGCTCTCACACAGCAATGGAACAGCTATCAGGAGCAATTTGGAGTTCAGTATCTTGCCTGAGGATACTTCAACTGGAGGAGCTGGGGTTCAAATCACAGATCCTCCAATTAGTGGACAAGCAGCTCTACCTCTGAGCTACAGCTGCCATGGGGTTTGCTCACTAGGTAGCTAGGTAGGGTTTGGTAACTAGGCAGGTTACTGAAGGTATAGCCTACTTAATATATGCACATGCTGTTCGTTTTTTTAATGATCATAACACTGAATAAAGGCCCACTTTTTTCATTGGCAAACTTTTGTAATATTCAACCAACTGTGTGTGCAGACACTGGCTTCCCCTGGAGATCTCTGCCCATCCGCTGGCGGAGTTCTGGTGTCTGGCAGTGCAGCAGGGGAAAACCAAATACCGTTCATCTGCACACACTGCCATGACATACATCTGGTTGAATATCAGCAACATTTTCACTTTTATTCATCGTCTCCTATCTTGATCGCCAGAGATGTGGTGGGTCACTTTTACACTGTGAGCTGTAGCCTATAGTTCAGCTTTAGCTTCTGTGTTTATCATTTATCTTGTTTTTGCTGCTATGTGAGTTCTGATATATCCCTCAGAAACTTATTATAGACCCCTCTGTCTGTTTTTCTCTTAAATCGTCTTTTCATCTTTTGAGAAATTTGATAATATTTCTCCAGGGAGTGCAGTTAGTGACATTGTGGGCTCCGTGCTAGCTCCCACAACTTGATGGGCCATCACAAAGGGGCAAGGCTTAGCAAAGGGTCAAGTGAGCTAGTAGTTTTACAACTATTCACAGTAGCTTGCTGGTAGTTCAACTACATTCATTTACATTATTTTTTCTAGCATAAATGAAATAGAAAAGGAACAAACTGGTGCAGAAACATTTGCCAGAATCCAAGAAATCAAGTCAATAAAATAAGAGATATCCCCACAAATGCTGAAATGAATCCTTCACCCTTGACGGCAGAAATTCCAAACAATTCTGGGCCTTTGAAGGAAATTATTGATTTTTTTAATTTGTATTTTTTCTCTTGTGTAATCGAATTCCCTTCGACCACAATTAGTCAGAAGCATTGATAAATGCTTGTTGTTAACAAAAGTTGGTTAAAAAAAAGTTTGTTCTTTTTAAGTGGGCACTTTTTGAAAGAAAAAACGTGTCTTTCATTCATATTTTATTTATTGATTTATTCATGTATTTATTGATTTATTCATTCATTTATGTTTTTTATTTTCATTATTTTTATTTATTTATTAATCTATTTATTTATTTTGCTTGCATGTGACTCCTTTATTAATTTAATTTAATTTATTTTGTTAAAATTTTGTACCACATGTACATTGTCAATTTGATCATTTTTTACAAAGTAGTTTTAGTTAATCAGATTTCTTCTAAGGGTAGCTTTACTGCAGTTCAGCTTCTTTCAGTGTGAAGCAATTGGTAGCTTGCATAGGTTTCAAGTAGCTTGTAAAGTTGTCAAAAACATCAGTTTATCAATCCAAATTGATTCTGATATAGTAGAAAGACTTTCAATTTGCATTTTCCACAGTATCAATACCAGCTACACTTTCTCACTGTTTCTTTTTTATCAGTGTTTACGGAAGTCATTCTGCTGTTCTCTGCTCCTAACCAGATATGGCATTGTTTTCATATTATGGCCTTACTATATTTATCTTTTAATAAAAAAAATTAAATACTATGCCCTTAATGTCAATTTCTCTCCGTGGTATTGGAAATGATATTATTGGTTATTATTATTATTATTGGTATTTTTTCTCTTATCTAACACAAGTATCTTCAGCAACCCTGTTTACATCACTGTAAATTGCATATCTTTGGTTTATGGGCTGTTGGAAGGAGAAAACAAGCAATTTCAAACCATGACCTCAGGCTCTTGAGAAACCATAAAGGGCATTCTACACTATTTTCTGCATTTTATACGCTAAACTAGTGGCCATGACCACTCATCATGGGTTGAGTATGCCTCATGTGTATATATGAGCTGATAGCAGCTCAACTACAGAGTGATTTTCTGCGCTTTAACTCACAGATTGTTTCATCTGAATAACTGTTTAGAGGTCTGAAGAGGTAAAACTTTTCCATTATCTCACAAGAAAAAAATCAGCCTATTCCAGCTGACATTGGGTCAGTAAACAGGGTTGGGGCCTCTCAGAGAGGCAGGGAACACCCTGGATAGGTCACCAGACTATAACAGGGCTGACACATAGAGACAGACATCCATTCACACTCACATTCACACCTACAGCCAATTAAGAGACACCCATTAACCTAACATGCATGTCTTTGGACTGTGGGAGCAAGCCGGAGTACCCAGAGAAAACCCACCACTGTGCTTCCTGGGTGTGGTTCAGTAGAAAGAAAATATTTTCCTACATGAAACTGTTCACAACAAGGTCTGTGGATTATCTTGAGTAACCAGGTCATGATTTCTGGAAAGCGAAATTGCTTGTGAGTTTCTCAAATTTAAGTTTTGGGCGCTTTGAGCACCACAAGCTGAGTGCCATCTAGTTTCAATTATCTTAGTGAGAAAGCAGACATCTCTTGGGCCGATACTTCCAACACTCAGCTGCTCACACCAAAACAATCTTATCTTATAAACAGCACTACAGGTAAGATGAAAAGTATGTATTTCTGATTTTGGGATGAACGTCCCTGTAAGGCATTTTATAATTCAGTTTGGCTGGCTATGAATTATACCAAAAAGAGATTTATTTTCTTCTTCTAAACCTCTCAGATTGTTTCATTAGAATACCTCTTTGAGGCCTGAAAAGTACAAAGAAAGATGACATAAAAGTCAGAAAGAGAGGATCTAAACCTAAGTAACAAAACAGCTTTGACATGTGCTGTGAATGAAGTAGTGCTATCTTTTCTGCAAATGAGTTATTCAGTTCTTAGAGAGTGATATATCACTGTGCACACCCACTACATTTTTCATCCCTGAGCTGAGCTTTGACAGATAATTGTCAAACCTGAAGATACCTATGGTTAATGTGCCGGACACAGCTGAGGTTAGCAGCTCTAATGGATGGCTGCAGCTCGTCTTTTATATATCCAAATGCAGCACAGAACAAGATACTTCTTTCTAATAGGAATTGGAAATAATGTCCTTCAGTGCACTTTGTTTTCAGCTTGATCCAATCTCCTCTAAACATATATTAGGTTTTCAATCTTGCTTGATTCCATCAGACAATTGAGTTCGAGGCAATTCTTTAAAGTCACGCTTTATAAGTTTGCTTTTGTTTGCCGGGGCTTGCCTGTGGAGTCTGCGGTTTGCTTTGAGAGACTGCTCATCAGACAGCGTTAAAGGGCTCGGTAATAATCTCCGTAGAGAGAGTCTGGAGTGGGAGAGGGGAGGAAACCTTGTCCCTCACGCTGCCCTTTCAAGTTATTGAGTTTGTCTGCTGAACACACAGAATACAGCTGCAGCAGGAGCACGTTGCTGCGGAGGAATAGATGTGGTATTCTGTTATACAGCTACTGGGAATACTATAATAACCCTCCAAGTTTATCCTCTTTGACTGCTGAACAGAAGAGCAAAGTATGTCTACATGCAGTACAGTAAATACTGTATATCAGAGTGGAAAATAATCTCTTTAAATATTTAAGTCCAATAGCTGAGAATCTTCTGGAACACAATTTTGAGGACTTAGATTTGACTGATATGTTTTTCCATAAAGAGTTACATCACTAAATCAACACCGTATTTCTGCATGTGTCAGAATGAAAGAGGATACTAGTGGCAAAAACATGTTTTGAGCTAAATGCTAACATCAGCATGTTCACAATGATATTGTTTACAATCTGATACAATGGCAATTAGCACTTAATATAAAGTGCAGCTGAGGCTGATGTTAATGTCATTACTTTTGTAGGAATATGGTCATAAAGAAGAGACCGGCATTGCTGTCTCTGTAGAGTCAAGCTGCTGGCATGGCAAAAAAAATAGCTTACAGTTGATATCAGAGTGAAGGTTAATTGATTAAAGAGCACTTTAGGAAGATTGG